TTAGGCTAGTAACAGTTAGGCTAGTAACAGTTAGGCTAGTAACAGTTAGGCTAGTAACAGTTAGGCTAGTAACAGTTAGGCTAGTAACAGTTAGGCTAGTAACAGTTAGGCTAGTAACAGTTAGGCTAGTAACAGTTAGGCTAGTAACAGTTAGGCTAGTAACAGTTAGGCTAGTAACAGTTAGGCTAGTAACAGTTAGGCTAGTAACAGTTAGGCTAGTAACAGTTAGGCTAGTAACAGTTAGGCTAGTAACAGTTAGGCTAGTAACAGTTAGGCTAGTAACAGTTAGGCTAGTAACAGTTAGGCTAGTAACAGTTAGGCTAGTAACAGTTAGGCTAGTAACAGTTAGGCTAGTAACAGTTAGGCTAGTAACAGTTAGGCTAGTAACAGTTAGGCTAGTAACAGTTAGGCTAGTAACAGTTAGGCTAGTAACAGTTAGGCTAGTAACAGTTAGGCTAGTAACAGTTAGGCTAGTAACAGTTAGGCTAGTAACAGTTAGGCTAGTAACAGTTAGGCTAGTAACAGTTAGGCTAGTAACAGTTAGGCTAGTAACAGTTAGGCTAGTAACAGTTAGGCTAGTAACAGTTAGGCTAGTAACAGTTAGGCTAGTAACAGTTAGGCTAGTAACAGTTAGGCTAGTAACAGTTAGGCTAGTAACAGTTAGGCTAGTAACAGTTAGGCTAGTAACAGTTAGGCTAGTAACAGTTAGGCTAGTAACAGTTAGGCTAGTAACAGTTAGGCTAGTAACAGTTAGGCTAGTAACAGTTAGGCTAGTAACAGTTAGGCTAGTAACAGTTAGGCTAGTAACAGTTAGGCTAGTAACAGTTAGGCTAGTAACAGTTAGGCTAGTAACAGTTAGGCTAGTAACAGTTAGGCTAGTAACAGTTAGGCTAGTAACAGTTAGGCTAGTAACAGTTAGGCTAGTAACAGTTAGGCTAGTAACAGTTAGGCTAGTAACAGTTAGGCTAGTAACAGTTAGGCTAGTAACAGTTAGGCTAGTAACAGTTAGGCTAGTAACAGTTAGGCTAGTAACAGTTAGGCTAGTAACAGTTAGGCTAGTAACAGTTAGGCTAGTAACAGTTAGGCTAGTAACAGTTAGGCTAGTAACAGTTAGGCTAGTAACAGTTAGGCTAGTAACAGTTAGGCTAGTAACAGTTAGGCTAGTAACAGTTAGGCTAGTAACAGTTAGGCTAGTAACAGTTAGGCTAGTAACAGTTAGGCTAGTAACAGTTAGGCTAGTAACAGTTAGGCTAGTAACAGTTAGGCTAGTAACAGTTAGGCTAGTAACAGTTAGGCTAGTAACAGTTAGGCTAGTAACAGTTAGGCTAGTAACAGTTAGGCTAGTAACAGTTAGGCTAGTAACAGTTAGGCTAGTAACAGTTAGGCTAGTAACAGTTAGGCTAGTAACAGTTAGGCTAGTAACAGTTAGGCTAGTAACAGTTAGGCTAGTAACAGTTAGGCTAGTAACAGTTAGGCTAGTAACAGTTAGGCTAGTAACAGTTAGGCTAGTAACAGTTAGGCTAGTAACAGTTAGGCTAGTAACAGTTAGGCTAGTAACAGTTAGGCTAGTAACAGTTAGGCTAGTAACAGTTAGGCTAGTAACAGTTAGGCTAGTAACAGTTAGGCTAGCAACAGTTAGGCTAGTAACAGTTAGGCTAGTAACAGTTAGGCTAGTAACAGTTAGGCTAGTAACAGTTAGGCTAGTAACAGTTAGGCTAGTAACAGTTAGGCTAGTAACAGTTAGGCTAGTAACAGTTAGGCTAGTAACAGTTAGGCTAGTAACAGTTAGGCTAGTAACAGTTAGGCTAGTAACAGTTAGGCTAGTAACAGTTAGGCTAGTAACAGTTAGGCTAGTAACAGTTAGGCTAGTAACAGTTAGGCTAGTAACAGTTAGGCTAGTAACAGTTAGGCTAGTAACAGTTAGGCTAGTAACAGTTAGGCTAGTAACAGTTAGGCTAGTAACAGTTAGGCTAGTAACAGTTAGGCTAGTAACAGTTAGGCTAGTAACAGTTAGGCTAGTAACAGTTAGGCTAGTAACAGTTAGGCTAGTAACAGTTAGGCTAGTAACAGTTAGGCTAGTAACAGTTAGGCTAGTAACAGTTAGGCTAGTAACAGTTAGGCTAGTAACAGTTAGGCTAGTAACAGTTAGGCTAGTAACAGTTAGGCTAGTAACAGTTAGGCTAGTAACAGTTAGGCTAGTAACAGTTAGGCTAGTAACAGTTAGGCTAGTAACAGTTAGGCTAGTAACAGTTAGGCTAGTAACAGTTAGGCTAGTAACAGTTAGGCTAGTAACAGTTAGGCTAGTAACAGTTAGGCTAGTAACAGTTAGGCTAGTAACAGTTAGGCTAGTAACAGTTAGGCTAGTAACAGTTAGGCTAGTAACAGTTAGGCTAGTAACAGTTAGGCTAGTAACAGTTAGGCTAGTAACAGTTAGGCTAGTAACAGTTAGGCTAGTAACAGTTAGGCTAGTAACAGTTAGGCTAGTAACAGTTAGGCTAGTAACAGTTAGGCTAGTAACAGTTAGGCTAGTAACAGTTAGGCTAGTAACAGTTAGGCTAGTAACAGTTAGGCTAGTAACAGTTAGGCTAGTAACAGTTAGGCTAGTAACAGTTAGGCTAGTAACAGTTAGGCTAGTAACAGTTAGGCTAGTAACAGTTAGGCTAGTAACAGTTAGGCTAGTAACAGTTAGGCTAGTAACAGTTAGGCTAGTAACAGTTAGGCTAGTAACAGTTAGGCTAGTAACAGTTAGGCTAGTAACAGTTAGGCTAGTAACAGTTAGGCTAGTAACAGTTAGGCTAGTAACAGTTAGGCTAGTAACAGTTAGGCTAGTAACAGTTAGGCTAGTAACAGTTAGGCTAGTAACAGTTAGGCTAGTAACAGTTAGGCTAGTAACAGTTAGGCTAGTAACAGTTAGGCTAGTAACAGTTAGGCTAGTAACAGTTAGGCTAGTAACAGTTAGGCTAGTAACAGTTAGGCTAGTAACAGTTAGGCTAGTAACAGTTAGGCTAGTAACAGTTAGGCTAGTAACAGTTAGGCTAGTAACAGTTAGGCTAGTAACAGTTAGGCTAGTAACAGTTAGGCTAGTAACAGTTAGGCTAGTAACAGTTAGGCTAGTAACAGTTAGGCTAGTAACAGTTAGGCTAGTAACAGTTAGGCTAGTAACAGTTAGGCTAGTAACAGTTAGGCTAGTAACAGTTAGGCTAGTAACAGTTAGGCTAGTAACAGTTAGGCTAGTAACAGTTAGGCTAGTAACAGTTAGGCTAGTAACAGTTAGGCTAGTAACAGTTAGGCTAGTAACAGTTAGGCTAGTAACAGTTAGGCTAGTAACAGTTAGGCTAGTAACAGTTAGGCTAGTAACAGTTAGGCTAGTAACAGTTAGGCTAGTAACAGTTAGGCTAGTAACAGTTAGGCTAGTAACAGTTAGGCTAGTAACAGTTAGGCTAGTAGTAACAGTTAGGCTAGTAACAGTTAGGCTAGTAACAGTTAGGCTAGTAACAGTTAGGCTAGTAACAGTTAGGCTAGTAACAGTTAGGCTAGTAACAGTTAGGCTAGTAACAGTTAGGCTAGTAACAGTTAGGCTAGTAACAGTTAGGCTAGTAACAGTTAGGCTAGTAACAGTTAGGCTAGTAACAGTTAGGCTAGTAACAGTTAGGCTAGTAACAGTTAGGCTAGTAACAGTTAGGCTAGTAACAGTTAGGCTAGTAACAGTTAGGCTAGTAACAGTTAGGCTAGTAACAGTTAGGCTAGTAACAGTTAGGCTAGTAACAGTTAGGCTAGTAACAGTTAGGCTAGTAACAGTTAGGCTAGTAACAGTTAGGCTAGTAACAGTTAGGCTAGTAACAGTTAGGCTAGTAACAGTTAGGCTAGTAACAGTTAGGCTAGTAACAGTTAGGCTAGTAACAGTTAGGCTAGTAACAGTTAGGCTAGTAACAGTTAGGCTAGTAACAGTTAGGCTAGTAACAGTTAGGCTAGTAACAGTTAGGCTAGTAACAGTTAGGCTAGTAACAGTTAGGCTAGTAACAGTTAGGCTAGTAACAGTTAGGCTAGTAACAGTTAGGCTAGTAACAGTTAGGCTAGTAACAGTTAGGCTAGTAACAGTTAGGCTAGTAACAGTTAGGCTAGTAACAGTTAGGCTAGTAACAGTTAGGCTAGTAACAGTTAGGCTAGTAACAGTTAGGCTAGTAACAGTTAGGCTAGTAACAGTTAGGCTAGTAACAGTTAGGCTAGTAACAGTTAGGCTAGTAACAGTTAGGCTAGTAACAGTTAGGCTAGTAACAGTTAGGCTAGTAACAGTTAGGCTAGTAACAGTTAGGCTAGTAACAGTTAGGCTAGTAACAGTTAGGCTAGTAACAGTTAGGCTAGTAACAGTTAGGCTAGTAACAGTTAGGCTAGTAACAGTTAGGCTAGTAACAGTTAGGCTAGTAACAGTTAGGCTAGTAACAGTTAGGCTAGTAACAGTTAGGCTAGTAACAGTTAGGCTAGTAACAGTTAGGCTAGTAACAGTTAGGCTAGTAACAGTTAGGCTAGTAACAGTTAGGCTAGTAACAGTTAGGCTAGTAACAGTTAGGCTAGTAACAGTTAGGCTAGTAACAGTTAGGCTAGTAACAGTTAGGCTAGTAACAGTTAGGCTAGTAACAGTTAGGCTAGTAACAGTTAGGCTAGTAACAGTTAGGCTAGTAACAGTTAGGCTAGTAACAGTTAGGCTAGTAACAGTTAGGCTAGTAACAGTTAGGCTAGTAACAGTTAGGCTAGTAACAGTTAGGCTAGTAACAGTTAGGCTAGTAACAGTTAGGCTAGTAACAGTTAGGCTAGTAACAGTTAGGCTAGTAACAGTTAGGCTAGTAACAGTTAGGCTAGTAACAGTTAGGCTAGTAACAGTTAGGCTAGTAACAGTTAGGCTAGTAACAGTTAGGCTAGTAACAGTTAGGCTAGTAACAGTTAGGCTAGTAACAGTTAGGCTAGTAACAGTTAGGGGGTGGTGGGGGGTTGGGTGTTGGTGGATGGGTGGGGGGGGGGTAATGGGGTGTGTGTTGTGGGGGGGGTTGTGGGGGGGGGGGGGGGGGGGGTTTTGGGGGTTGTGGGGGGGTGGGTTTTGTGTATTTTGGTTTGGGGGTGGGGGTGGTGGGTGTTGTGGGGTTGGGGGGTTGGGTTGTGGGGGGTTGGTGTTGTGGGTTGGGTTTGTGTTTGGGTGGTTTGTGTGTGTTGGGGTTGGGTTGGGGTGGTTGGGGGTTGGTGGGGTTTGGGGGGTTGTGGTTTTGTGTGTGTGTGGTTGGGGGGGGGGGGGGGGGGGTGGGGGGGGGGGGGGGGGGGGGGGGGGGGGGGTGGGTTGGGGGGGGGGGTGGGGGGGGGAGGGGGTGTGTGGGGGGTGGTGGGGGGGGGTTTGGTGGGTGTTGGGGGGGGGGTTTGGGGGGGGTGTGGTGTGGGGGTGGGGTGGGGGGGGGGGGGGGTGGGGGGTGGTGGTGTTTTGTTGTGGTTGGGTTGGGGTGGGGGTGGGGGGGGGGGGGGTGGGGTGGGGTTGGTGTTGGGGGTTGGTTGTTTTGGGTGGGGGGGGGGGGTGTGGGGGGTGGTTGGGGGGTGGTTGGTGGGTTGGGGTGGGTTGGGGTGGGGTGTTGTGTGTGTTTGGGTGTGTTGTGGGGGGAGTGTTTTGATGGTTGGTATGGTGGGGGGGGGGTGTGTTTGTTGTGTGTGTTTTGTTGTTGTGTGGTGGTTTTGTTTGTGGTGTGTTTTTTGTGTTTGTTGGGTATAGTGTGGGTGGGTTGTTGGGTTGGGGTGGTGTTGGTGGTGTATGGGGGGTTTGTTGGGGTGGGTTGGGGGTGGTATATGGTTGTGTTGTGGGTTGGTGTTGTGTGTTTTTGTTTGTTGGTGGGGGGTTGTTTGTTTAGGGGGGGGGTGGGGGGTTTTAGTGGGTTGGTTGGTGGGTTTTTTGATGGAGGGTTTGTTTTTGGTGAGTGTGGGTTTAGTTGGGAGGGTTGAGAGGTTGTGGGTGTAAGTTGATGTAAGAGGTTAGGGGGTATATTGGGTATGGTGTGGTTGGGTATGGGTGGTGGGTATGGGGTTGGTGTTATTGGGGGTTTAGTTGGTTATTTGTGTATGGGGTTATTTTTTGGTGTAATTTTTGGTTTTGAGGTTTGGTTTAAGTTGTTTTATGTTTTATTTGGATAGGGTTTGTTGAGTGTTTTATGGGATGTGATTTGGAATTTGTGGTGTTGGTGTGGGTTTTTGGGTGGTTGTGGGGTGGGGTGGTGGGGGGGTTGGGGGGTTGGGGGTTGTGGTAGTTTTTGGTGGTGGTTGTGGTTGGGGGAGGGTTTGGGGGGTGGGTTTTGGGGGGTATTTTGTTGGGATGTGTTGTTTGTGGGGGGGGTTTTGGTGGGGGGGTGTTTGTTTTGTTTTTATTTTGGTGATTGGGTGAAAATATGGATGTGGGGGATTGGGTGATTGGGGGGTGTGTGTGGATATTTACACTTCCTAGCGGTATACGAGAGTATGGAAGGAATAGTGTCGGAAGTAGGAAGGGAAGTAGGACCGAGATGCTGCGCTAGATGTGTGGAGGGATTTTAGTTTGTTGGTGAGAAAAAAAAGTGGATAAAAATTGGTTTTATAATGGTAAACTTGGAGGTTTCTTGAGGCAAATGGAGAGAGTTAGATGATACAATATATATATAAATGATACAAAAAATAAATAAAATATAAATATATGAACTTGTGTATAATATAAGAATGATGGAGTGATGATGGTTGGTGTATGTGTTTATGAAATTAGGGTTTTGTGGATGGAATTATTGGTAGGGGGGAGGAATTTAATAATATGTGTAATGGTTGTATTATCTGGGGGGGTGTTGTGGGTGGAGAGTATGATGGAATTAGGTCGTAAATAATTAAAAGAGAATATGTAGTATAGGGGTATGATGATTTGATAGGTAAGTAAAAAAGTGGTGTGTAGTAATTATGGGTGTATAGATGTGTGAGAGATGTTTTAGAGTAAGAGGGGTTAAAGTAGGGGGTAATGGAAAGGGGTTTATGTGGGTATGGGGATTAGAGGAGAGGATAGTTGGGGTTAGGGGGGTGGGTTAGGGGGGGATTGTATGTTTTTTAAATGTGGGGGATGTTGTTTGTGTAAGGGTTTTAAATTGGGAGGGGAGGGGGGGTAGGTGAAATATTGGGAGAGTTGAAGTAAATTGGTGGGGGGAATTTGGGATGAGGGGGGAGAGAATATTTATGTTGAAGGAAAGGGATGAGAGTATGAGAAGGGTGAAAAGAGTTGGTGGGGAGGGAGGGGTGATGGGTGAATATTGTGAGGAGGGGAAAAGATGGGGGTTGGAATAGTTTGATAGTTGTGTTGTAGGTTTGTTTGGGTGAGGTTGTAATGGGGGGTTGTGTGGTGAGAGAGATTATTATTATAAGTGTGGTGGGGTTTTGTGTGTGTTGAGAGGATTATTTGGGAGAGAGTGAATGAGATAGGGATGGTGGGAATGGGAGGAGGGGGGGAAGATGTGAGAGGGTTTTGGTTTTTGTAGGGGGGTGTTGGGGGTATTTTGTTTTGAGTGATGTGGTGAGGAGAAGAGGGATTGTAGGTGGAGGGGGGGGGGTTGAAGATTAAGGTGGTATAGGGGTTAATGTTGGGGGGTAGGATGTGTTTTGGGGTGTTTGGGTTTTTGTTTTTAGGGGGGGGGTTTGGTTGATTGTGGGGTGGATTTTTGGTGTGGGGTTGGGGGGGGTGGGATTGTTTTAGGGTAAGTTTTGGGTTGTTGTTTGGTTGTTGTGGGGTAAAGTGTGGGGAGTTATGGGTGGGTATTTGGGGTGAGGTTTATTGGGAGGTTTGGGGGTGAGAGAGTGTGGTGGGGGGTTTGGGGGGTGGGTGGTGTGGGTTGAGGTGGGGTGGGTTTGGGGTTGTGGGGGTGGGTGGTTGTAGTGGGAGTGGGGGGTTTTTTTGTGTGGTGGGGGGGGGGGTGGTGGGGGGGGGTGTGGGGGTGGGGGGGTGGTTTGGTGGGGGTGGTGGGGGTTTGTGGTGTTTTGGTTCGGGTTGGTTGTGGGGTGTTGTGGTGGGGGGTTGTTGGTGGGGGGGGGGGGGGGGGGTGGGGGGGGGGGGGGTGGTGGTTTGGGGTTGTGGGTGTGTTGGGGTTGGGGGGGTGGGGTTTGGGGGGGATTTTTTTGGTGTTGATTGATGGTTGGTGTGTGATAGATGAGTTGTTGGTTGGTTGTTGGTTGTTTTGTTGGTTGTTGTTTGTGTGTATGGGGGTTGGGTTGTGGTGTGGATGGGGGGGGTGTTTTGTGTGTTGGTGGGGTGGGGGGTGGTGGGGTGGGTGGTGGGGGTTGGAGGGGGGTTGGGGGTGTGTGTGGGGTTTGGTGTGGAGTTTTTTGGTTGGGTATGGGTTTGTGTTTGTGGTGGTGGTGTTGTGTGGGGGGGTGGTGTGTGGGTTGGTGTGTGGGGGGTTGTTTGGGGTGGGGGGTGTTGTTTGGGGGGGTGGGGGGTTGGGGGGGGGGTTGGGGGGGGTGGTGGGGGGGGGGGGGTGGGTGTTGGTTGGGGGGTTGGGGGGGGGGGGTGGGTGGTGGGTGGGGGGGGTGGGGGGGTGTGTGTGGGGTGGGGTGGGGTGGTTGGGGGGGGGGGGGGGTGGGGTTGGGGTGGGGTTTGTGGTGTTGTGGGGGTGGGGGACATGGAAAAAAGTTTCGCTCCCGTCTGCTGCGCGCTAACAGTACTGCTGAACGCATGATGTGTAAATTTGAAGTAAAGGGTTATGTGCCCATTAAGAGGGGTTAAATCAGTAAGTCATAGAGGGTTGAATAAACTTAAACTAGTTGTCGTGCTACACGATATTAGTATTCGTGTTTGTGTGTGTTTAATCACATGAACGGATGTGAAATTATGGGAGGACAACAATGACTATAACTGACGTCTCCAAGTGTATCCAAGAAGGAGAATCGATTACTATGTAATGGAGTATATGGTATACTGTGGGTGATAGGAAAAGGAGCAGTGTGATTTTTAGGTGTGATTGAGGGGAATGAAATGTTGTATGATGATATGGACTAAGGAAGAGATGGGAAAGAGAAATAATAATTGAAGCGAGGTTGGTTGTGGATAGTTATTATTTGATTTGTTTAGTTTGTTATGTTTTATGTGATTAGTTTTGGGTTTGTGTTGGAATGTGTGGTTAGAATATTGGAAGAAATAGATAAACAAGCGGGTATGTGATATTTATAAAGGATGTAGAAAAGGGAGAAAAAAGGAAAAGATGTAAAGGTTAGAATTTGTAGATAATAAGTGAAAAGGTGGAAGGGGGAAGAGAGTTAGGGAATTTGGGAGATGAGATTGATTTATTGATTGATTATGGGAGGGTGTATTGAGAGGGGATTTATGTTGTGTGATTATATTTTGTGGAGGTTTATGTGGGTTTTTTAGGAAAAGAAGAAATGTGTAAAAGAAAAATGTAAAAAATTTATTAAAAAACATTTAATATTATTTATAAATAAGAGAGATGGTTATATATGTAATAAAAATTAATATATAATATATATATTATTAATGGTTTTAATGTTTTATGGTGGTTGTAGTGGATGTAATGTTGATTAAAGATGTTATAGAGGAATAATGGGAGAAGGATGATAATGGAGATGTGTGAGAAAGGAGAAAATGGGGTGGTATATGTAATGTGGTGTATGTTTAAGGTGGAAATGGAAAAAATATTGAAATTGAGGAAGTAAAAAGATAATATAAGTAAAAGGATAAAGGGGATGTGGGAGAAGAATTGGTTTATAGGGGGTAAAAGTTTTTATTGTATTGTTGTTTTAATAGTTTTGGGGTGTATTTTGTTATATATTTATGTTGTTGTGATTGTGATTGTGTTGTTAGTTGTTTGTAGTTTGTGTTTGTGTGGGAGTAGGTAAAGTGGGTATGAGATGGGAGTGGGGAAAGGAGGGGGGGATGAGAATGGGATATTTGTTGGGAGAGATAATGATTGAAAAAGTATGAGGGTGGAAAGAAGATTTAGGGGTAAAGAAATAAGGGGGGGAGGTAGGAGGAATGGGGGGAAAGTGGGTTAGGGTAAGGGTAGGGAAAGAGATGTTAGTGGTAAGTGGGGGGGTGGGGTGGGAGAAGGATAGGGGGGTGTTGTTTAGGTAAGAAGGGGTTGTATTTGTGAGGAATGAGGGGGAAAGGTAGGGGGTGTTTTTAGAAATAGTATGGTTGATGGGGTGGAGATTGGAAGAATAGGAGGAATTTATGGGATTGAGGTGTTATAGGTTGTTTATTGGGAAGAAGGGTTAGGGAGGTTGGTTGGTTGTTAAATTTAGGGGTGATATTTGATGATGAGTATAGGGTTTGGTGGGGTTGAGGAGATGGGGGTGATGGGGGGTTGGGGGTGAAAGAAAAAATAGAAGATATGAGGAGAGGAAAAGTAAGAGAAGAATAGTGAATGAGTGGTTGGGGGTGAGGTGTAGGTGGAGTTATTGTGATGGTGAGATTAGGAAGGGTTGGGTTATATTATAGGGTGTTTGGGTATTTTGATTTTAGATAGGAGTTATATTGTGTTTATATTGTTAGGTTTTGGTAGGAATGGGTGGTGGATGGGTGATAGGAGGGAAGAAAAAGAGAGGTGGGGGAGAGAGTGGTGGAAGGGTATGAGAAGAGTGGGTAAGGGGAGGAGGAAGTGGGGAGAGAGTGGGAGAGAGTGAAGGGAGGTGGAGGGTGTGTATGGGGGGTAGTTTATATATTGGGGTGGTTGAAGGTTTGGGGTAGGGGGAGGAATTAGGGAATATTTGGTGAGGGGGGATGGGTGAAGGAGATGAGGATAAGGGGGGGTGGTGTTTGTGTGTAGTGTGTGTGTGTGTGGTGTGGAGTTAATAGAGGTTGTTGAATTGTTGGAGTAGGGAGGAGAGAGTTTTAGGGGTAGTAGTGGGAAGAGAGGTTAGTGGTATTGGGGTATGGGGTAATTGTTGGGGAAGGTGGATTGAGGTATTGTTAGAGTTTTGGTATTAAAAGGGGATGGAAGTATGAGTGTTAATTGTTGATTGGGGGGAGTTGGTTATAGGGGATTTTTAGAGAGAGGAGAGAGAGAGAGGAGTGAGAGGGGAGAGGAGAGGTTGATAGGGAGAGAGAGGGTAGAGATGAGGGGAGAGTGTGGAGATAAAAAAAATATGAGAGGGTGAATGGGTGTGAGAGGGGTGAGAGAGGGGAGAGTAGATGGGAGAGTGTGAAGAGATGTGATGTGATGGGGTGAGTTGGGGTGTGAGATGTGTTGTGTGATGGGTGTGTGTGGTTGAGTTTGGTGATGTGGGATGTAGTAGGGTTGTGGGTGTGTGTGGTGAGTGTGGGGTTGTGTGTGGTGTGGTTGTTTTGTGTTGGGGTTTTGTGGAGTGTGTAGTGAGTGGTGTGTGAGGTATGTAGAGGTGTGTGTTTGGATTGTTGGAGGGTGTGTGGGGGAGTGTGTGTGTGTGTTGTGTGTGTTGTAAGTGTGTGTTGTGGTGTGTGTGGTGTGTGTGTTTGTGTGTGGGTAGTGTGTGGGGGTGGTGTTGTGTGTGTTGTGTGGTGTGTGTGGTGTGTTGTGGTGTTGTGTGTGTGTGTGTGTGTTGTTTGTGGGGTGTTGTTGGTGTGTGTGTGTGTGTTTGGTTGTGTGTGTGTGGGGTGTGGTGTGTTGTTGTGGTGTGTGTGTGGTTGTGTGGTGTTGTGTGTGTGTGTGTTGGGTGTGGTGTGTGAGTGTGTGTGTGAGTGGGGTGGGGGGGTTGGTTGTGTGGTGTGGGTGGGTGTGGGGGTTGTTGTGGTGGGTTTTGGGGGTTGTGGGGGGGTTGTTGTGGTGTTTTGTTTGTTGGTTGGGGGTTGTGTTGGTGGGTTTGTTGTGGGAGGGGTGTTGGGGTTTGTGTTTTTTGGGTGGGGTGGGGGGGTTATGTTGTTTGATTGTGGGGTGGGGGGGGGTGTTTTGTGTTTTGTGTGGTGGGTGGGGGGTTGTGGTTGTGTGTGTTGTGTGGGTTGGGGGGTTTTGTTTTGGTTTAGTTTTGTGGTTGGGGAGTTGTGGTTTTGTGTTTGTTGGGTGGGGGGGTGTTGTTGTTTGTTTGTGTGGGGTGGGGTTTGTGTTGGTTTGTGTGATGGGTGGGGTGTTGTTGTTTTGTTTGGAGGGTTGGGGTGTAGTTGTGATTTGGGTGGGTTGGGGAGTTTTTTAGTTATGTGTGTGGGTTGGTAGGGGGGGGGAGTGTGGTTTTTGTTTGTTTTTGTGGGTTGGGGGGGGTTGTTTGGGGTTGTTGTGTGGAGGGGTGGGGGGAGTTGTGTGTTTTTTTTGGTTGGGTGGGGGTTGTGTGGTGGTGTGGTGGTGGTGGGGGGTTGTTTGGTGTTTTTGTGTGTGGGAGGGGGGTTTGTTTGGTGGTTTGTTGTTGGTTGGGGTGTTGTTTTTTATTTTGTTGGTTTGTGGTTTGTTGTTTGGGGGGGTTTTTTTGAGTGTTGGGGGTGTGAGGTGGGGGGGGTTGTTGGGGGGGGGGGGTGTGGTTGGGTGGTTGGGGGTTGGGGGGTGGTTTTGTGGGGGTGTGGAGTGTTGTTGGTTGTTTGTTGTTGGGTGGGTGTTGTGGTGGTGAGGTGGTGGTTGGGTGGTTGTGTGGGGTGGTGGGTTGTTGGGTTTTGTTGTTGGGGGTGGTATGGGGTTTTGGGGGGGGTTTTGTTTGGGTGTGGGGGGGTTTTGATATTTTTGTGGGTTTGTGGTAGGGTAGTGGGGAGAAGTGAGGGGGGGGATTGTGTGTGTAGTAGGGGGGTGAGAGAGGGAGAGAGAGGGGAGAGAGAAAGGAGAGGAGAGGGAGAGAGAGGAGAGAGGGGGGAGAAGAGAGGGAAAGAGAGGAAGTAAGATGGGAGAGAGAGGGAGAGAGAAGGGAGAGAGATAGGTAGAGAGAGGGAGAGAAGAGGGGAGAAGAGATGGGAGAGAGAGGGAAGAGAGGGAGAAGAGGAGATGAGAGGGGAGAAGAGAAGGAAGAGAGAGGGGGAAGAAAGAGAGGGGTTGAGAGGGGTGTGAGAGGAGATTGAGGGGGGGGAGAGGGAGAGTGAGGGTGAGAGGGGGGATGAGAGATAGGAAGAGAGAAGGAATGAAAGAGGGGATGTGTAGTGTGGTGGGTTTGGGGTTTGGGGGGATTTTGTGTGGTGGTTTTGGGTTGGGGTAGGGGTGTGGGGTGGGGGGGGGGGTGTTTGTTTGGGTGGTGTTTGGGGTTTGGGGTGTTTGTGTGTGGGGTTGTGGGGGTTGGGTGTTGGGGTTTGGGGTTTGGGGGGTGGGTGGGTTGGGTGGGTTGGTGGGTTGTTGTTGGAAGTGTGTGTTAAAGGAGGGTGATGGGGGGGGGTTATGGGTAGGGGGTGGTGGGGTTTGTATTGGGTGTTTATGTGTGGTGTGGGGGGTTTTGAGGTGATTTATGGTGGGGGTTTGGTTTGTGGTGGTTTTGTTGGGGGGGTTTGGGGGTGGTGTGTGGGGGTTGTGATGGGGGTGTTTTTGGGGGTTTGGGGGGGTGTGTGTTTGGGTGGGGGTTGGGGTGTTGGGGGGGGGGGGGGGGTGTGGTTGGGTGTTGGGATGGGGGTTGGGGGGGGGGGGGTTGGGGGGGGGGGGGTTGGTGGGTGGTTTGTGGGGGGTGGGGTGGTGGGGGTTGTGGGGGGGGGGTGGGGGGGGTGTGGGGTTGGGGGTGGGGGTGGTTGTGTGGGTTGTGGGGGGGGGGGGTTGGGGGGGTGGGGGTTGGGGGGTTGGTTGGGTGGGGTGGTTGGGTTGGTTTTGGGGTTTGGTTGGGGTGTGTGTTTGTTGTGTGTGGGTTTTGGATGGTTGGGGGTGGGGGGGGGGTGTGGTGGTTGGGTGTGGTTGTGTGTGGGGTGGGGTGGGGGGGGGGGGGTGTGGGGGTGGTGTGTGGTTGTTGGTGGGTGTTTGGGTTGGGGGTTTGGTGTGGTGTGGGGTATGGGTGGGGGGTGTTGTGGGGGGTTGGTTGGTGGGTGTTTGGGGGGTGTGGTGGGGGTGGGTGGGGTGGGGGGGTGGGGGGGAGTGGGGGGGTGGGGTGGGGTGTGGGTGGGGGTGTGGGTGGGTGGGGGTGGGGTGGGGGGGTTGGGTGTTGTGGGGTGTGGGGGGGGGTGGGTGGGTGGGTTGGTTGTGTGGGGTGTGGGTGGTGTGGGGGTGGGTGTGGGTTTGGTTGGGGGTGGGGTTGGGTTGGGGTGGGGGGGGGGGTGGGGGGGGGGGTTGTTGGGTGGGTGTGTTGGGTTTTGTGTTGTGGTGTGTGTGTGGGGGGTGTGTGTGTGTGTTGTGTTTGTGTTTTGTGTGTGTTGTGTGTGGGGTGTGTGTGGTGTGTGTGGTGTGTTTTTGTGTTGTGGGTGGTTGTGGGGGGGGGTGTGTTGGGGTGGGGTGGGGGGGTTTGTTTTTTTTTGATAGTGGGTGTTTGGGGTTGTGTGAGGGGGTGGTGGTGGGGTTGGTTGGGGGTTGGTTGGGGGGTGTGGGTGTTGTGGGTTTTGGGGTGTTGTTGGGGTTTGGTGGTGGTGTTGGTGGTTTTGTTGTGGTTTTGGTGGTTTGTTTGTGGTTTTTGGGTGGTTTGGGGTTGTTGGGGGGTTGGGGGGGGTTGGGGGTTTGGGGGTTGTGGGTTGGGGGGGTTGGGGTGGGGTTTGTTTTGGGGGTTGGGGGTTGGGTTGTGGTTTGGGGGTTGGGGGGTTTGTGGTGGTTGGGTTTGTTATGGTGGAATGGTGTGTATTTTGTGTAAATTGTTTATTTGTTATGTGTGTTATATGTGAAGGTAGAGGGTTTGGTGGGTGGGAGAGGGGGGATTTAGGTGATATGGGGGAGTGGGAGGAATTTGGGGTTTTGGTTGGAATTTTTAAGAGTGAAGAGGTTTGGGATGTTTAGGGATGTTTATGAGGGGGTGGGAATGAAGAGAGGGGAGTGTGATGGGGTAGAGGTATGTGGGGTGGGGGGGGGTAGGAGAGGGTGAGAGTAGTTGGTAGGGGTATGTAGGGTGTTTGAGGAGGGGTAGAGTGAGGAGTGTTTGTGATGGGGTTAGAGGGTGTTTTTATATGGTTGGTGTATATTTGGGGGTTGGGGGGGGGGGGGGAATTTGGGGGGGGGGGTTTTGGGGGTGGTGTTGGGGTGAGGTGGGGGGTTATATGTTTGGGGGGTGGGTGGGTGGGTTTAGTTGTTTGGGGGGGGAGGGAGGGGTGGGTATTTTTTGTTGGTGGGGTGTGGGGGGGTTTTTATTGTTGGGGGGGGGGTGGGTGGGGTATTTTTTATATTTGTGGGGGGTGGTGGGGGGTTATTTGGTTGTGGGGGGGAGGAGGGGGGTTTGTGGGGGGGGGGGTGGTGGGGGTGTTTGGTGTGGGGGGTGTGGTGGAGTTTGTGGGGGGGGGAGGTTGGGTTGTGTGTGGGTGGGGGGGGTGGTGGGGTTTATTGTTGGTGTGGGGGGTGGGTTGGTGTTTTTTGGGTGGGGGGTGGTGGTTTTTTTGGGGTGTGGGGGGGTAGGGTGGGGGTGGGTTTTTTGGGTGGGGGGGGTGGAGGGTAGTATAGGTTTTGTGGGGGGGTGGTGGTTGTGTTTTTTTTGGGTGGGGGGGGTGGTTTTTTGGGGTGGGGGGGGGGTGGGTGTGTGTGGGTGGGGGTTGTGGTGGTTTGTTGGTGTGGGGGGTGGGGTGTTTTTTGTGGGTGGTTGGGGGGTGGGGGGGGTTGGGGGGGTGGGGTTGGGTGGTGGGTGGGGTGTGGTGTGTTGTTGTTTTTTTTTTATTTGTGGGGTGTGTGGGTGGGGGGGGGGGTTGTGGGGGTTGGGGGGGGGGGGGGGTGGGTGTTTGTTGAAAACTTACACTTTCAATCACCTGTCCTGGGTGGAGAAAACAAAAAGCAGTACTATTTATAGTTTTATACCGACCTCCTGGTCCTTACAGCGAGTTCCTAACAGAATTCTCTGACTTCATTTCAAACCTAGTTTTGGAATGGGAAAACATAGTTATAGCTGGAGACTTCAATATACATGTGGACGACAGCACTGACAGCTTAAACAAAGCTTTCAGCGCCGTACTAGATGGTGTTGGTTTTACTCAGAATGTCGAGGAACCTACTCACATTCATAACCACACCTTGGACCTTGTCCTGACCTACGGCTGTGATGTCTCCAATGTTGACATCCAGCGTCAAAGCTCGTTGCTGTCTGACCATTTCTTGATCACGTTTGATCTCGCTTTGGAGGACTTTCCTGTCCCGCAAGATAAAACCATAATGAAAAGAACCTTAAATGATAAATCTATCACAAGGTTCAAAGAACTAATACAGCCTATGTTGAATACTGCTGCAGGTGAACCTGTTCACAGCAGCTGCAGTCCCTCAGTCATTGACCAAACGGTGGGCAACACTATGGAGTCTTTAAAATCTGCATTAAATGCAGCAGCTCCTTTAAAACAGAAAACCATTAGGATTAGATCATCGTCGCCCTGGTACAGTGTTCAACTCCACACTTTAAAACAGGACGTCAGAAAATTGGAGAGGCTATATCGCCACTCCCACTCGGAGCCTGTCCACAGGGAGTGGAAAGCAGGTCTCCGAAACTACAAGAAGGCCCTTCGCGGGGCTCGAACTCAATACTATTCAACTTTAATAGAAGCGAATAAAAACAACAGTAGATTTTTGTTTGGTACCGTCACTAAACTCACAAACTGCCATAGCGCAATCGAGCCTAAAATTCCAAGCTCACTGAGCAGTGTCGACTTTCTCCACTTCTTTAATAATAAAATTACATCCATCCGTGACAAGCTGGAGGAGGTTGCTCCTGCTGTTAGTGGTGGACAGGTTGAAGCGGCATACGTGACTTCCCACTTAGACTCTTCAGTGGGCCTTAATAAATTCATGGCTGTGAGCCAAGCAGAGGTGATCTCTGTGGTCACATCCTCAAAAGCCTCAACTTGCATGTTAGACGCAGTCCCGACATGGCTCTTCAAAGACATACTTCCTTTGATAATTGAGCCTATCGTAAATATAATAAACGCATCCATACAATGTGGCTATGTCCCACAAGCTTTTAAAACCGCGGTAATCAAACCCCTTCTGAAGAAAACAAACCTGGACCCAGAAATACTTACAAACTACAGACCGATCTCAAACCTCACTTTTATATCTAAAATCCTGGAAAAACTTATAGCTGAGCAGCTCCGCTGCCACCTGCAGGAAAATGATATGTTTGAAGTCTTTCAATCAGGATTCAGAGCTCATCATAGCACTGAAACGGCACTAGTCAAAGTCACAAATGACTTACTACTAGCTGCCGATAATGGACAAGTGTCAGTGCTGGTCCTACTGGACCTTAGTGCTGCATTTGACACAATAGACCACAGCATTCTACTGCAGAGGCTAGAATGTGATATAGGTCTTAGAGGAACAGCCCTTGGCTGGTTTAAATCCTATTTATCAGATCGATATCACTTCGTCAATGTGAATCAGGACTCGTCGCCTTATTCTGGAGTGGAATTCGGTGTGCCGCAGGGTTCGGTACTCGGACCGATTCTTTTTACTCTCTACATGCTGCCACTGGGAAACATTATTAAAAAAGCATGGAATTAATTTCCACTGCTGCAGATGACACACAGCTTTATCTGTCGATGAAGCCTAATCAGACAGATCAGCTAGAAAAGCTCAGTGCCTGCATAAAGGACCTTAAAATGTGGATGACTCTTAACTTCCTACTTCTCAACCCGGAGAAGACAGAAGTGATCCTACTCGGTCCGAAGCGCCTGCGTGACTCCCTCACTAACCAGATGGTTACTCTCGATAATGTCAGTATAATACCCAGTAACACTGTGAGGAATCTTGGAGTCATTTTTGACCAAGAACTCTCCTTCAAGGCTTATATAAGCCAAGCAACTAAAACGGCGTACTTCCACTTACGGAACATCGCTAAAATTAGGAATTTCCTTCCTAAAAGTGACGCGGAAAAACTCATTCACGCGTTTGTCACCTCAAGGCTCGACTACTGTAACGCTTTACTGGCAGCGTGCCCTAAAGCCTCTTTGAAGAGCTTCCAGCTCGTTCAGAATACAGCAGCTAGGATCTTAACAGGTACCAAAAGGAGGGAGCACATAACTCCGGTGTTAAAATCACTCCACTGGCTCCCTGTGGAGTACAGAATAAAGTTTAAAATCCTTCTCTTAACATATAAAGCCATAAATGGCTTGGCTCCCTCTTATCTCCAAGACACGTTAGTGTCGTATCAACCAGGTCGAGCGTTGCGCTCACAAAACGCCAGACGTCTGGTGGTCCCTAAGGTCTCAAAGGTCACTGTTGGTGGCAGAGCATTTAGCTACCAAGCTCCTTTACTGTGGAATCAGCTTCCCATTTATGTTAAGGAAGCAGATACGGTCTCCACATTCAAGGCCAGGCTTAAAGCACTTTACTTTAATTTAGCATATATTTAGGTAATATATAATATGTAGTGTATATATTATATATATATGCTGTATTATGTTATATATTATGTTATATATTATTCAATAATGTATTGTGTTATGTTGTATATTATGTTATATATTATGCTGTATGTTATTCTTTATTCAAGGCTAGGTTTAAAACAGTCCTCTTTAGTTTAGCATATGGCTAGGAAGGTAAGACTCGGAGAAGGTTAAACTCCTCAGAGTGTTAGTCAAGCTGCATAGGGAGTCAGTTTGCTGGGAGAAGTATGGTAACTTGAGCACTATCCTCTCCTCCTTCCTACTTTATCTGTTTAGCATTTTTAGGATTCTGACTGTAGTTTGTTCATTGCTATTCACCCGTTGTCCCATTGTCTGTTTCATGGTACGATGACGGGATCTCTGAGCCTGGCCTCTTCCATCTACACCTGCGGACTGCCCCGCCCGACCCGCCTGGGAGTGCTTCAGTCCTGCACCGGACCTGTCCACGTTCAGCGTCCACTGGTCCACGTTCTGTAGCTAGCTTAGGTCCTGGATCATTAGTCTGTCCGTCCGGAGGAGCGGATCCCTTTCTCAAATGGGTCTCCCTCCCTGTGGGTTTCCCTAGTTCTCCTCCAAGGTTTCTCACTTTTTCCCACTGGGTTTTTTAAGAGTTTTTCCTTGTCGATGCAGGAGGGTCTTGTTGGACAGTTAGTGTCCAACAGAAAGGATTGGTGATGATCAGGACACTTTAGCATTCTATAACATGTATGGACATTTTCTTCTGTGTGTGCTTTATACTGTATTCTTCATGTGTTTTAACTGTTGATTCTCTGACCTGTGTTGGTGATTTCAATGGTTTTGTTAAGTCCTCTGAGATGACTTCTGTTGTGACCTAGGGCTATACAAGAATAAATTGTATTGTATTGTATTGTATTGTGTATCTTACATCCTTACATTTGTGGTTGTTTTTTCTTATTCTTGGGTTTCATTAAACTGGCCAGTAGGGGGCGCATGAGTCTGTTTTGGAGTCAAAGGCTCTCCTCCTGTGCGGTGTACGGTTGTTGTAAAAAATATTTCTTATTATTTAAGAGTCTTGATTTTGGGCATTTTTGGAGAAAAAAAAACAGAAGAAATATCTGTGTTTCATTGGGGTGGCCTGCAGGGGGCGCTTATCTGGGAAAGCCTTGATCCACCTCCGCCTCATTCCAGTGATTTTTTCAAAGTGTCCTCCTTTATATGAGACCACAGTTGGAACATGAACAAACTCTGGTCTTTCTCTATTTGTGCGGTTGCTACAAGCGTACACCGCACAAAAAGATGGCTTCTTCTTCTACTATATCTCCGTGTATAAACCTCTTCTTCTTCTACTATATCTCTGTGTATAAACCTCTTCTTCTTCTACTATATCTCCGTGTATAAACCCGGCAGACTGCAGCGCCAGGACACGTCACGTCCTGTCCTATGTTTGTTATTCACTGCCCTGACGTCAGATGAAACCCAAGAATCCATTTCTAACCTTTTCTCTCTTTTTGTTTCTGATTTGGGGAATGTATCACAAGGTAATGCTAATGTTGTTTGTTTTGTCTTGTGAAAAACTGAACAGAAAATGGGATTGGGGAGAAAATGAGGCAGAGGATAAATGTTAGTTGTTAACAGTAGATTTGGTGAGCCAAGCGTTGAAAGGGAACGACCAAAAGTAAAAGAAAAATGAATGATTCTCACAGTTTGCTTGTAAACAAAGCTGGAAAAAGCACCGCGGATCACATTAAGCATTTCCACATTTTCCATAGGAGCTGTCAGAGGAAATGTATCTTATAATAAAGCAAGGCATTTCCATGATCTTCCCAACATTAAACGCTGATTTTGAAATGTAAAACTCAGGCAACGAAGCAAAACCAAACCAAGAAATCCATGTTTAAACAGGAAATGTATTTGGATGGAGCTGGAGTACTGCGGTCTATCGTACATGAAGAAGAAGTCTCAAGTCAGGAGGGGAGTCTAAAGGTCTGCTCTGTCCGTGACCACACAGCCCTGATCTTTCAGCAGGGGCTTCAGGCAAAGTGGGGTTAAAGAAGCTATACCCGATTTTGTTTCTAATGAGTTCATAAAAATGCGTATTACTACGTACAAGTTGTATTATAATCAGTAATTGATTCTCATTGATTCAGCTGTGTATGAACTCAGGCCGTAAAAAGTGCTGAGTAGAGACTTAGCGTGACGCCCGCTCTCCTCCAATCACAGAACAGGCTGCGTCCTCTAGCCTCTACAGCGCTGCTAAACACAGTAGCATGTTAGCATAAGTGGCTATAACTCTTCTTCTAACCCTTACAATAACGTTGGAAAGAGAAGCCGTGGGGATCAACCGCCTCATTGCACTTTTTACGGTGATAAAGCAGCCACCCGCTTTTCATGTGCGGACCACTTTACCGCTGACTCTGAAAAGCCGGGTCTCTTTGTTCTCGGAAAACAGTGAGGGTGAGCCGCAAGAAATGCCAAACGCGAGTCAAATACGCAAGCCTCCTTTTTTGGGCAAGTGCAGCTCGGTAGTGGAGCGAGTCTCTGTAAAGTTACTCTGAAACAAGGAAATATCGTGCTCATTTCATGTGACGGGAAGAACTGTGGAGGTGGGTGGTCGCGGGGGAGCGGCGCATTTACTTTGGGAACCGCTGGGCTAGAGGACGCAGCCTCGCTCTGTGATTGGAGGAGAGCGTCACGCTAAAGTCTCTACTCAGCACTTTTTACGCCTGAGTTCAGACACAGCTGAATCAATGAGCTCAAGTTTTACATTACATTACGGATTAGCATAACTAAGCATTTTTATGAACTCAATAAAAAATAATCGGGCATAGCTTCTTTATTCCATGTTAACTGTCATTTTAACGGGTCCCATTCAAACAAATGGTAAAAACATCCCCACAAAAATGTGTTGGTTTTGTTTCAGTTTTTCACCTTTACTAACTTTGAATAAGCTTTAAAACGGTTTAGTATGATTTGAATTACAGAAAAAAAAACAGTTTGGTAAAAGCTTAAATGTGTCTCTGACCTTCAGTAAACAGGCCGAGGTCACCACTTGTTTGCGGTCCACGGTGTCGACCAGCGGCTCCTTTATGGCCACGTTGCGGATACAGGTCATGTCGAAGCCGTAGACGTTCTCCCACCCTCAAACAACAACATCAGGAGTTAGTACAGGACCACAGTCGCCCTTTCTGTGTTTATTATCTGTACATTTTATTTGTAGATAGATAGAAATATCATATAGGAAGGACCAGGAAAAGCAGGGAACCTTTGTAAAGCGTTTGTGAGAGTGTTTCAAAATGTCGTGTTACTCAGACAGGAAATGCAAACAAAGTACATGATAATTATTCTGTCCTTGAATCAAGCTGAAGATTGTGGAAGAAACTGACTCTTATTGTTAATTAAGGTGTGAAACACTTCAGGTTTAGCCTGGTCGTACCACACCATAGTACAAATTACATTACGAACTAAGGTCTGGATTGTCTCCATTGACTCTGTGAACAGGTGGGAGGGGCTAACTCCTTTTACAGATTTAAACCATTGGATCTGAGTTTAGGGGCGACAGTAGCTCAGTTGGTAGAGCATTGGCCTTAAGGCCAGAAGGTCGTGGGTTCATTTCCCACCTCTGCACCTTCTCCACCGACTCCCACTGATGACTGCTGTCGTTGTGTCCTTGGGCAAGACACTTAACCCCACTTTGCCCAAAGCCCCCACTGAAAGATCAAGGCTATGCTCACGCTCAAAGAGCAGCCGTCCTCCTGTGGACTCACCACCTGCAGAGGGTCAGTGAGGGGCTGGTGCTAAGAGACTTGGGTGGCATCTCTGACTGCCACCCCCCTGACCCAGAAATGGATTAAAGGGAAGAAAATGGATGGATGGATGGATGGATCTGAGTTTACTGTGACGTATGTAATGAGCCCGATTGAGTCGTTAGCATTTAGCCTAGCTTTAGCATCTCCTTTGTCGCTAACGGAGCCCGTGGGGAGTAGCGCCACAATCTTTGCAGCGATTACATTTGCTAAACATTCCTCTTGCTCCGGCTTCAGTTTCTTGATAGAACCAGACCAGAATACTTTACTATCACATTCTTCGCCAAACTACAACCTGCTCGTTCGACACAAACTCTTGACGTCACCCACATCTAACTACAACACCCGCCTCCCGCGCTCTCTGATTGGTCGGATGGAATTCAACCGATTGTAATCTCAGACACAGGGACCAGACCCAGACGTTACAGCAGGACATGATGATTGAGCGTATACTGATGGATAGGGCTACTTCAGGTTAGTAACTGGAGGAAAGCATAAAGAACCGTGAAGATACAGTGCTATTCAAATGCACCATGTGACTCTTGAACACTATGTGCATTTTCGATGCTATATACTGCATCCTCCCCCCTTGGACTGCCACCTTAACGTGGTGGGGGAGTTTGAGCACTCGGATGATCCTGGGAGCTATGCTGTCTGGGGCTTCATGCCCCTGGTAGGGTCTCCCATGGCAGACAGGTCTCAAGTGACGAGTCAGACGAAGCGCAGTCCGAAGCCAACCATGGACAGCACGACAACAAAAACCGTGACGTCGCCCGGCATGGCGCAGCCGGGGCCCCACCCTGGAGCCAGGCCTGGGGTCGGGGCTCGCAAGCGAGCGCCTGGTGGCCGGGCCTTAGCCCACGGGGCCCGGCCGGGCTCAGCCCGAAGGGATGACGTGGGCAGTCCCTCCTGTGGGCTCACCACCTGCAGAGGGGTCCGTGGTGGCGAGGTGCAGAGAGGACTGGGCAGCAGTCGAAGGCGGAGACCTCGACGACCCAGTCCGCACACACAACAGCTGGCTCTTGGGACGTGGAACGTCACCTCACTGGGGGGGAAGGAGCCCGAGCTTGTGGGGGAGGTTGAGCGATACCGACTAGAGATAGTCGGCCTCACCTCCACACACAGCTTGGGCTCTGGAACCCAACTCCTTGAGAGGGGTTGGACGCTCCACTTTTCTGGTGTTTCCCGCGGGGAGAGGCGGCGAGCTGGGGTGGCCATACTCATTGCCCCCCATCTCAGCCGCCACGTGTTGGAGTTCTCCCCGGTGAATGAGAGGGTCGCGTCCCTCCGCCTCCGGGTGGGGGACAAGTCTCTCACTGTTGTGACGGCCTACGGGCCTAACGGTAGTGCAGAGTACCCGGCCTTCTTGGAGTCCTTGGGAGGGGTACTGGACAGTGCACCGCCCGGGGACTCCGTTATTCTCCTGGGGGACTTCAACGCCCATGTGGGAAATGCCAGTGACACTTGGAGAGGGGTGATCGGGAAGAGCGGCCCCCCTGATCTGAACCCGAGCGGTGTTCAGTTGTTGGACTTCTGTGCCAGTCACGGCCTGTCCATCACGAACACCATGTTCGAGCACAAGGGTGTCCATCAGTGCACGTGGCACCAGGACACCCTAGGCCGGAGGTCGATGATCGACTTTGTAGTCGTATCATCTGACCTTCGACCGCGTGTCTCGGACACTCGGGTGAAGAGAGGGGCGGAGCTGTCAACCGATCATCACCTGGTCGTGAGTTGGATCCGCTGGCAGGGCAGGAGGCCGGTCAGACCTGGCAGGCCCAAGCGTGTAGTGAGGGTTTGCTGGGAACGTCTCGCTGAGCCCCCTGTCAGACGGACTTTCAACTCACACCTCCGGGAGAGCTTCTCCCAGGTCCCGGCAGAGGAGGGGGACATCGAGTCCGAGTGGACCATGTTCTCTTCCTCTATCGCCAATGCGGCGGCTCGTAGCTGTGGTCGCAAGGTCTCTGGTGCTGGTCCCGGCGGCAATCCCCGAACCCGGTGGTGGACACCGGCAGTAAGGGATGCCGTCAGGCTGAAGAAGGAGTCCTATCGAGCAATGATGGTTCGTGGGACTCCTGAGGCAGCTGTCCAGTACCGGCAGGCCAAACGTGCCGCGGCCCGGGCTGTTGCAGAGGCAAAAACCCGGGACTGGGAGGAGTTCGGAGAGTCCATGGAGCATGACTATCGGTCGGCCTCGAAGAGGTTCTGGCAAACCGTCCGGCGCCTCAGGAGGGGGAAGCAGTTCTTTGCCAACACCGTGTATGGTGCGGGTGGAGGGCTGCTGACCTCGACTGGGGATATTGTCGGGCGGTGGAAGGAATACTTCGAGGTTCTCCTCAATCCCCCCGTCACGTCCCCCGTCCAGGAGGCAGAGGCTGAGGATGTTGGGGCGGATACTTCCATCTCCCTGGCCGAGGTCACCAAGGTGGTTGGCAGCCTCCATGGTGGCAAGGCGCCGGGAGTGGATGAGATCCGTCCTGACTATCTAAAGTCTCTGGATGTTGTAGGACTGTCTTGGCTGACACGTCTCTGCAACATCGCGTGGCGATCGGGGGCGGTGCCAATGGAGTGGCAGACCGGGGTGGTGGTCCCTCTCTACAAGAAGGGGGACCGGAGGGTGTGTTCCAATTATCGTGGGATCACACTCCTCAGCCTCCCCGGTAAGGTCTACTCCAAGGTACTGGAGAGGAGGCTTCGTCCGATGGTCGAATCTCGGATTCAGGAGGAGCAGTGTGGTTTTCGTCCCGGTCGCGGAACACTGGACCAGCTCTATACTCTCCATCGGATACTCGAGGGTTCATGGGAGTTCGCCCAACCTGTCCACATGTGCCTTGTGGATTTGGAGAAGGCGTTCGACCGCGTTCCCCGGGGTGTCCTTTGGGGGGTCCTCCGGGAGTACGGGGTCCGGGGTCCTCTGCTGAGGGCTGTTCGGTCCCTGTATGACCGGAGCCAGAGCTGTGTTCGCATTGCTGGCAGTAAGTCAGACCTGTTCCCGGTGCATGTTGGCCTCCGCCAAGGCTGCCCTTTGTCACCGGTTCTGTTCACTGTATTTATGGACAGAATCTCTAGGCGCAGCCAGGGGCCGGAGGGGGTCCGGTTCGGGAACCACAGGATTTCATCTCTACTTTTTGCGGATGATGTCGTCCTGCTGGCTCCAACGAACCAGGACCTGCAACATGCACTGGGGACGGTTTGCAGCCGAGTGTGAAGCGGCTGGGATGAGAATCAGCACCTCCAAATCCGAGGCCATGGTGCTTGACCGGAAAAAGGTGCCTTGCCCTCTCCAGGTGGGTGGAGAGGTCCTTCCTCAAGTGGAGGAGTTCAAGTATCTCGGGGTCTTGTTCACGAGTGAGGGGAGGATGGAGCGTGAGATTGACAGGCGGATCGGTGCAGCGTGCGCAGTGATGCGGTCTCTGTATCGGACCGTTGTGGTAAAGAGGGAGCTGAGCCGAAAGGCAAAGCTCTCAATTTACCGGTCAATCTTCGTTCCCTCCCTCACCTATGGTCATGAGCTGTGGGTAATGACCGAAAGAACGAGATCGCGGATACAAGCGGTCGAAATGAGCTTCCTCCGCAGAGTGGCTGGGCGCTCCCTTAGAGATAGGGTGAGGAGCTCGGTCACACGGGAGGAGCTCGGAGTAGAGCCGCTGCTTCTCCACGTCGAGAGGAACCAGTTGAGGTGGCTCGGGCATCTGTTCAGGATGCCTCCTGGACGCCTTCCTGGGGAGGTGTTCCGGGCACGTCCCACCGGGAGGAGGCCCCGGGGAAGACCCAGGACACGCTGGAGAGACTATGTCTCTCAGCTGGCCTGGGAACGCCTAGGGGTCCCCCCGGACGAGCTTGAGGAGGTGTGTGTGGATAGGGAAGTCTGGGCGTCTCTGCTTAGACTGCTGCCCCCGCGACCCGGCAACGGATAAAGCGGAAGAAAATGGATGGATGGATGGATGGATGGATATACTGCATGTTTAAGGCTTATCCCAGGTTTGTGCTCAGTTGAATTTCAAAACTCGTTGATGTTTTAATAATTGAGCATTGCGTTAGACCCTGGACTTCTATGAAAGCTCATTAATAAAACAAAGTGACATTGTTTTAGGGGCCATCTGTAAACACCAGGCTCCTTGAACAGCCCTCCACTACCTCGGCTCTGCTTAGCCCAAGTACGTTGGACTAATCCATAATTCATGCTGTACTTAAGATGGAGAGAGTCAGCGTCTGTTGCGGGTAAAGGACTGCAGTGCACCGCGAGCTGATGCTAACGAACCGGTCACTAAGACTCGGATTCTGTAAAGTACATTATTTGCATTTGTTGCTGCCCACTCGAGTCCAGTCTCTTCTAATGGCCGCAAGATACTATGGTGCACTGGAGCGGATTATGGGTCATCGCTAAGCCTCAGCCTGTGGGGATATAAGTGCTACTTATCGTGCGAAATAGTACTTTTAATACCTAATAACATTTACCACCAGATAAAAAATATGTCAGTGCATAAGCTCGCGACTTGCTGCAGCTGCTCCTCGGCTGTTTCCAGACTTTAACAACTTATCATCATTGGAGATACTTTTCTTTCAACAAATAATGCTGAAAACGTTTGCACGTAGAGCAGGCATGTCAGACTCAGGCCCTAGGGCCAAATCCGGCCATCGAGACCACATTTAGTGGCTCTTGAAATGATTTTCAGTCCCTTAACTTGAAGCGTTAGATGGAAATGCATTGGCTACTTTGGCATTTTGTACTTAATCTTAAAGTGTATAATCAGTAAAACAACCACATCATCGTAATTAGAAGTTAAATTAGTAGTATTAAACTATCAGTCTGGAAATACATCTCTTCTCGATTTTTGGCCCAGTTGTGGTTGAATCCAAACCAACCAGAAAAAAAATATACAAAGAATGAAGGCCTTCTTGCACTGAGGGTGTCTCAGTCTTCCGCTAAAAGTACAATACAACCTTCTCATACAACAACATAAAGTCATGTCTCTACTTTTAAACGGTGTTCTTGTAATCGTGTAATTACTTCTTCACACTCATCTTCCTCGCTGCTTGTTTTGTATATTTTAGTTTTGCTGTTGTTATCCCAGTGATGATTCCCACCCGGGCCTCAAAAGGCTTTGCTCTGCTTTGTTTACTGGAAGCCATAACCTAACAGGGTTATTGTGCTTTGTGGAGCAGTGAAGGGCTCCGCAGCAGTTTTAGAGTGTGCAGGATTGTTGACATATAAAAATAATTCATGACCCCCAGCCGTGCTCCGCAGATGAGCAAACTCTGAGATGCATGGCGCTGACCAGACTGATCATCTGTGTGAGTTTGGGCAGCAGCGTCTATATTTAGGTCCATATTGTTATTTATTTATTAGATTCAGTGACAGAAGACTGATTCTCTTTTGCTGAGTGAAGGAGAGGGTCTGCAAGTCTCTCCTTCCTGCTGTGGTCAGACTGTACAACGAACACTGCTGAGCCTGAACCCAGGACCTTCTTGCTGTTAAGCGTTACCTACTGTGCCACTCGACTACTGTTTGACAGAAAGTTTAAAATAGCAATCCTCTGGTAATGAATCCCTCAATAAATCAAGACAATGTACTTCATAAAATAGCCCCTCCCACCACCACCAACCATTCACACACGCACCAGACTCATTCTAATGCGGGGGGAAGTGTCTTGCCTAAGGACACAACCACAGTTTAGCACTTTACAGCCACAGCCGCCCCACTGTGGCACCTGCTGTTCCCCAGAGGTCTCCCATCACACCACTAACCAGGTCTGACAGAATGGCTTTCACGTGCAGGTATGGCGACATAATTGTTGATGTTTAGGCACAGAAGCCTTTTAGTTTCGACACACACAAAGCAAATGTGAACCAAAACCGGTAACTTACAGTGTATTTTGAAGTCTTTGTACTGCCGGTCTTCTATGGCCACCACATACAGAGAGGCGCGGTCAGGGAACATCAATCCTCCAGGTTTCTGCTCCACAAATGAAGCGAGAAGACGACAAACAGATCCACAATTAATCTCCACAGAATGAAAAGATCTACAGTGCAGCGGTTTGACATTTCCTTCCTCAGTCTGAATCATTGTGTTGATATTTGTTGCCTCTGGGCTCGGCGACTCGGCGACTCGGTCTCGCTCTGCCGCTTTCCACCGTAAAAAAAAGATCTCACAGTGTAAAAAAAATGAATCCTCGAAACACGGTAAAGCTTTGCTCAAGTGTGTATGCAGCAGAAAATCAATGCAAAAGTATATTATACAGATATTTCCCATTTATTACCACTCAAACTCCCAAAGCAGTCGGTTTGACGGCTTTTCGTTTTGGAAGTGACTCTGCTTATACATGTTTTTGGTCTGTGTAACTTTTTCTGTTTCTATATGTTCTTTATTACTAAATCGTTATGTTTTGAAATTCTCTTGATCCTAGACTGGTTCCAGACCGGTGTAGAGCAATCTGGGCTTGGAGCAAGTGCTAGTTACCATAGCAACGCACTGTTTACTTGCAGCCGTTAGCATTTAGTTCAGCTGTATTTCATATACAGTTAACCAGTATTAGCATGGATTAAAGAGAAAACCCTGTGAAAAGCTTAATTTAGAAAAAAAAGTGAATAAAATGACTACTCATGGAGCTCTAGAAGCGCCTGAAACAAGGGTCATTTAAATAGTAGAAATGCTTAAATTGACACGATTATTAATTTTGCTGCTGCTTTTAATGTTACCAATACTATGTGTGTGTGTCTGTGGGTTTGTGTGTGCGTATGTTTGTGTGTATGTGTGGGTTCATGTGTGCGTATGTTTGTGTGGGTTCATGTGTGCGTATGTTTGAGTGTGTGTGTGGGTTCGTGTGTGTGTATTTGTGTGTGTGTGTATGTTTGTGTGTATGTGTGGGTTCATGTGTAAGTATGTTTGAGTGTGTGTGTGGGTTCGTGTGTGTGTGTTTGTGTGTGTGTGTATGTTTGTGTGTGTGTATGTTTGTGTGTGTGGGTTTGTGTGGGTTTGTGTGTGCGTATGTTTGTGTGTGTGTGCGTGGGTTTGTGTGTGCGTATGTTTGTGTGTGTGTATGTTTGTGAGTGTGTATGGGTTCGTGTGTGCGTATGTTTGTGTGTGTGTGTGCGTTCGGGTGTGCGTATGTTTGTGTGTATGTGTGGGTTCGCGTGTGCGTATGTTTGTGTGTTTTTGTGGGTTTGTGTGTGCGTATGTTTGTGTGGGTTCATGTGTGCGGATGTTTGTGTGGGTTCATGTGTGCGTATGTTTGTGTGGGTTTGTGTGTGTGTATGTTTGTGTGGGTTCGTGTGTGCGTATGTTTGTGAGTGTGTGTGGGTTCATGTGTGCGTATGTTTGTGTGTGTGTGTGTGTGTGTGTGTGCGTATGTTTGTGTGGGTTCGTGTGTGCGTATGTTTGTGTGTATTTGTGGGTTTGTGTGTGCGTATGTTTGTGTGGGTTCGTGTGTGCGTATGTTTGTGTGGGTTCGTGTGTGCGTATGTTTGTGTGGGTTTGTGTGTGCGTATGTTTGTGTGTATTTGTGGGTTTGTGTGGGTTTGCGTGTGCGTATGTTTGTGTGGGTTCATGTGTGCGTATGTTTGTGTGGGTTCGTGTGTGCGTATGTTTGTGTGGGTTCGTGTGTGCGTATGTTTGTGAGTGTGTGTGGGTTCATGTGTGCGTATGTTTGTGTGTGTGTGTGTGTGTGTGTGTATGTTTGTGTGGGTTCATGTGTGTGTATGTTTGTGTGGGTTTGTGTGTGCGTATGTTTGTGAGTGTGTGTGGGTTCATGTGTGCGTATGTGTGTGTGTGTGTGTGTGTGTGTGTGCGTATGTTTGTGTGGGTTCGTGTGTGCGTATGTTTGTGTGGGTTCGTGTGTGCGTATGTTTGTGTGTATTTGTGGGTTTGTGTGTGCGTATGTTTGTGTGGGTTTGCGTGTGCGTATGTTTGTGTGGGTTCATGTGTGCGTATGTTTGTGTGGGTTCGTGTGTGCGTATGTTTGTGAGTGTGTGTGGGTTCATGTGTGCGTATGTTTGTGTGTGTGTGTGTGTGTGTGTGCGTATATTTGTGTGGGTTCATGTGTGCGTATGTTTGTGTGGGTTCGTGTGTGCGTATGTTTGTGAGTGTGTGTGGGTTCATGTGTGCGTATGTTTGTGTGTGTGTGTGGGTGTGTGTGTGCGTATGTTTGTGTGCGTGTGCGTGTGCGTGTGTGTGTGTATAACATTACAGTGTCTTTTTGCTATAGCACTTGTGTGTCTCTGTTTTAGCACAGTCTTTGTTTGTACATCCATCTTTTTGTCCATTTTCATGAAACATTACACAGATGAGTGTGTGGACCCCAGTGACTTATGGGGACCTAAATAACACACCATGATCTGGCACTGATCAGACAAAAACATGATAATTCAGCTAATATTCCAGCAGTGCCGGGAACACAGAGGAACTACATTTACACAAAAAGAGATTTCAGAGTAAAATACAAACCAGCCACTTGTCTCTGGCAAAGATGACCGTGTTCAGCATAGACTCGTAGAAGAGGCTGTAGCCCATCCACTCCGAGATTATGATGTCGACCTGCTCAACGGGGAGCTCCACCTCCTCCACTTTCCCTTTGAAGATGGTTATGACTGAAACACGGATAGAAATAATGCAACACAAAACATTAAAGGGATAACACTTCCTCAAACGTATGTATTTATCTAAAAACATGATTCAGTCCATTCTCAAAGTCCTTCTCGTTGTAGATTTCTGATCTTGTTTGATTCTTTGACTTTAGAGCAAGGCGATACGACTTCAATTTCCCCGGAGCTGATATTATCAAAAGGCCGTGGTTTCTGGGCTGTAGACATGCACGGCTCTGCCAAAGCCTGGATCAGACTCGGACTGGACTCGGACCAACCAGGTTTGATCCTTTATTAACCCAGAAATGAAGTCAACTCAGTAGCTCAGTTGGTAGAGCATTGGCCTTAAGGCCAGAAGGTCGTGGGTTCAATTCCCACCTCTGCACCTTCTCCACCGACTCCCACTGATGACTGCTGTCGTTGTGTCCTTGGGCAAGACACTTAACCCCACTTTGCCCAAAGCCCCCACTGAAAGATCAAGGCTATGCTCACACTCAGAGAGCAGCCGTCCTCCTGTGGACTCACCACCTGCAGAGGGTCAGTGAGGGGCTGGTGCTATGAGACTTGGGTGCATCTCTGATTGCCACCCCCCTGACCAGAAATGGATTAAAGGGTAGAAAATGGATGGATGGATGGATGGATGAAGTCAACTCGACAATTTTTTTTTTAAACAAAATCAAAACTAGACCAACGACAGTAGCTCAGTTGGTAGAGCAGTGGCCTTTGAGCCTGGAGGTCGTGAGTTCGATTCCCACCATGGGACCTACTCCAATTGCTCCCACTGATGTCTACCGTCGTTGTGTCCTTGGGCAAGACACTTAACCCCACTGAAAGACCAAGGCTGTTTCACCACTGACAGAGCAGCCATCTTTCTGTGGACTCACCCCCTGCAGAGGATCAGAGAGGGACTGGTGCTATGAGCATTGGGTGGCAGCTCTTATTGCCCCCCCCCTGACCCAGAAATGGAAAAATAAAGGGCTTGAAAAATGAAATGAAAACTAGACCAAGACAAAATCAGTAAAAACTAGACTTTTTTTGGTATTTGGAAGATGGGGGTTGGCTCGGCCTGATTTCGGATGCATTTTTGAGAATTATTTAAGTCGTGCTCTCATCAAAAAACAGATAAGAACTAAAGTAGACACAGACAAGTCCTACTTTAGACCGGTTTTATATCTGGTGGAACTCAGAATATGTGTTCAAGGGCAGCGGGCTGAACAAACACGCACAACAACGTAGGTTTCCTCCGGGTGCTCCGGTTTCCCCTACCACTAAAAACATGCACAATAGGTCTGAATGTAAATGAGAGAGTGAATGGATGGTGTTGGAGCTGATTTATTTTCTTGAGCTATTTATTGAATTAAATTATTTTTGCAGTTCTGCTTTTAGGTCCTTCCGTGTTTATCCGTGATAAATAAGTTTACATTAAAAAGTCGACATATAGTTTCAGGACTCTCGAATGAAGAGGTTACAGAGTGTATCTTTATCCCAGCTGTATCAGTCTCAGTAACACAATTAACTCCATCCATCCATTTTCTTCCCCTTAATCCATTTCTGGGTTGGGGGTGACAGTCAGAGCACCAGCCCCTCACTGATCCTCCTGCAGGTGCTGAGTCCACAAGAGCTGAGATCTTTCAGTGGGGGCTTCAGGCAAAGTGGGGTTAAGTGTCTTGCCCAAGGACACAACAACAGCAGTCATCAGTGGGAGTCATGAAGTAGGTCTTGTGCTGGGCTCAAACTCACAACCTTCAGGCTCTACCAACTTGGCCACTGTCGCCCCTATTAACTTCAATGTAATTCAAATAATAAAAAACAACAGTAGTTATTTCGTAAGACTTTCTCCGACACAGATCAGAGAATAAACCATGGGAAAAGAGCTCAAATTGGGCAAAATGTGTCTTTAGTTGAGCACTTTTTGACTGCCTTAAAACAAGATTTTCCAACGGGACAAAGCAAAATGATCTTGTTTTTAAAAGATACAGAAACATCTCCCTTGGAATGGGGTTAATAAAGCAACACTTCTTGAAATAAGGCTAAATGGCTTTGACAAAGTACTTTAAAATACTTAAATTAAGATAAAAACCACTAGATTCAAGCAATGATTATCTTATGTTTGATCATTTTTGAAACAGTTCAAACACAAGATTAAAAAAACACACAGAGCCATTGGTGCATAACGGGCATAAAACCTAATCTCTCACTCGGTTTAGTCAAAATAAAAACAGTTTCCGTTCATTTCCTCACATCCATATTCTCCGCGAGTGCCGTCATCCTTCAGAGGGGACTGCAGGTTTATTTAGTTCAGTAAGCGTTGCCATGGCAGCCCTCACTCTCTTATGGAAATGGCTCCTTCTGGATTCTACATCTCTGCCCCGGCCTTAAATCACACATTGATTTTTGCAAAGTTAGTTCCCGGCTGACACTGTCCATAGCTTAAAAAAAAAAAAAAGTTTGTTGAAAGTTTGCCACTACATTGGATTTACAAGAGCACGCTTCATATTCATAGGTCCATATGGCCGGGACACTGCCTGCCAGCGGAGTTTGTGGGCCTATTATTGTTTTCTGAGCGCTCGGGCAGTAGCTCGGCACCGACCGTGTTTATGATGTGCAGTAATGGAAACATATGCTCAGAAGGCGGTGGCGTTTGTTCACGGAATATAAATGAGTTCCAAAAGCTGATCAAAAGCCAAGGGGTCATTAGACACTAGTGGGAGAGGTGAGGGGTCAGATAGTTTTTGGGCTTGTGTGTTTTATTGTTTTACCAAGGGGTGTCACAGCAGTTCTCAAAAGGCCAGTGTGGCTGCAGGTTTTCATTCCAACCAAGCAGGAGTACAGCAGAGACTTAACTGAGGTCTGGTGGACTCCTGCTTGTTTGGAATAAGCCGGGCACTCACTTAGAGATAGGGGGAGGAGCTCAGTCACACGGGAGAAGCTCGGAGTAGAGCCGCTGTTCCTTATGATTTTATACTGATCCAGACCAGAGCAGAGAGGATGCATAATCCCAACCAATCAGATCAAGCGGAAATCCACTGGAGGAAAGAACTTTTATTTGTATTTATTTTTAAATGCTAATGGTGCATTCAGAATTTCACTCTGAGCCAGAGCAGTCCAGAGGATAAGAAGCATCACACCTCTGCTGCTTTTTGCTTTCATTTGTTTGTGTGGATGGATGTGTTTTTGCTGCTGGACACCTGGACTTCTCCTGTGGGGGATCAGTAAAGTCTCTATGACACGCTCCTCACAGCAGCAGGAGAACGCTCTATTGATTTGAATTTAATTTCAAAACGTTCTACCGGTCATTATTTCTTGATAATTTACTTCTCAAAACAATAATGACCACTGCCCTTTGGCAACGCACTCTGTGCTTGTAATTCATGTGTGTAGATTACTCCGCAAGTAGTTCCGGCCACTCTGGAGCTAGCCACGCTCAATAAAAGCAAATACCAATCGATCAACACAATCAAATGTTATTGGGAGAATACACTAGACATGTTCATTCATAATACATGTGCACAGAGGCTTTCAGGATTTTCTGTTGAGGTTTTCATGACAAAAATACAATTTTAATGCATTTTGAGAGAGTTCTAGTTTGGAAGTTGCTAGCCTAGTTGTTACTAGCCTAGCCACGGGAAAGCCTTTGGGAACTATTTTATTTTCTGTCATTAAATAAACCTTTCTGTATTCATAAGAGTAGACTGAAGTTTATTTTGTGTGTTCTGTTGGTACAAAGCCGTATAATAAGCGGGAAAATGTGTAGTATACAGGTCATTATCGGAAAATAAGTACCGACAAGGCGGAGCGGTCTGCTTCCGCCCTGAAGTGTGTAGGATACATTATCCCTTACATAATCTACTGCTACTGCTACTGCTACCAGACCTGATGCTTCCTCTGATGACAGACACATCAGAGGAAGCATCAGTCCCTCTTTTTAATTCTTAAAACCCACTCTTATCCTGTGGCCTTCCCATAACTGTCTGTATTTAAAGTCTACATGTATTTCACTTTAATCTCTTGTATTTCTTTTTGATGTTACATAATTATGTCAGTTTTTTATTGCTTTATCCTGACTGTACTTTACAAATAAAGAATTATCATTACACATCAGGGCTTTCGTGGTGCGGTTGTTAGTGCAATAAAAGTGTAAGTGCTCACCGCTGTGGAGGTGGTTGGATTTGATGATCCTCTCCGAGTACTCCGATATACTGGAACATTCAATCTGGCAAAAGACAAAAGAGAAGTGACGGCGCTGAGGTAATGGACTGGGATCCTTACGGGAATATTATCAGTGATGGGAAGTCTGCTGCACTCTTGACTCTAACCGGAATCACTTTTTCTTTTTGTGAGAATCTGCTGTGAGGAGAGCGGGGAATGCGGAAGTTTGATTTTGCAGAAAGATCACAGGCTTGACAGGTATTCTCCAGACAACATAACGAGAGAAACACAGTTAGGGATGAAGAGAGGAAGGCTGAGGGAGAACTGTATGTACACCTGCTTTTTATTCTGCTTTGAAAATCCATTCATCCAAACAGCAATTGATTAAAAAAAGAAGAATCCCCATTTCATTTACTGTGAAATGTTGTGTTTCCTTTCAAATACCTAATAGTTTGATTATTAGTGTATTGCTTTGACAGAACCACAGTCTGAAACGGATTCAAGATTCAAGAATTTATGATTTATTTGCCGTTTGCAGTCAAACCACATTGGAAAAACTGTACAAGACTGCACCATAGTACACACCAGAGCTCCTGCCACGCGGCACCATTTTTCCGGCGCTTATTTTTTTCTCACAGATTGAAACAAAACTTTTAAGTGTTATGAACTAGAACTTGGAGAGAACATACCCCCGGAAAAAAATTATAATACTGAGCTGATGTGTGGGTATAATTACATTTTCCTACAAGTTAAGCCTGGTTCACACGAGACGATTTTAAAATGGTCGGCCGATTTCCCTAACCTGAGAGACCCCACACACAGAGATAAACAATCAAGGGTCTAACCACTTTGGTCGTACAGTGTGTGGTGCAGCCACACGACAAAACCACACAAACCACACAAACCACACACGAACCGAGCATTCCCAGGTCAGACGGAAACCTCACAAAATCTCTGGAGATCAAGCGTGACTTCAGCGTAAACCATCATGGAGGACGAAGAGCTGCAGCGGCAATAGTTTGTTTTTAACAGAGAAAAAGTGTTTTCAAAGGAAAAGGCTTTGGTCGAAGAAATGGAGACAACGCGAGCTCGGATTATAAATATTTATATATATATATATATTTATGTATATATATATATTTATTTATATATATATTTATGCGCCACGCCGCTGACTATTATGATTATTTTCCGGTGTTTCCTCGCCGCCTCGTCTTCTGATTGGCTACATGCCGCAGTCCACTGGCAGCGTGCCAAAACAATCCAACATGTTGGATATCCCTGAGATCAGAGCAGTCCAGAAATCCTTCTGAGCGACGTCTGATTTTTTTAAAAGATTGTTGTTAGTGGTAAATTGGATCTTAAATCGGCCTAATTATCCTGTCGTGTGAACCAGGCTTTTAACATCACAAACAGTGTCTTATGAGCAATCCTGTCAACAGAAAAATACACACACATAAACACACACAGACACACAGACACACACATAAACACACACATACAGACACACACATAAACACACACACAGACAGACACACAGACACACACAAACACACAGACACACAGACACACACATAAACACACACAGACACACACACACACACACACAGACACACACATAAACACACACACAGACAGACACACAGACACACACATAAACACACAGACACACACATAAACACACACAGACACACACATAAACACACACAGACAGACACACAGACACACACACACACAGACAGACACAGACACACACACACGCACACACACACACACACACACACACAAACACACCCAGACACACACAGGTTTCTGCCGTGTATTGATATATACAGATATAAGTTGTTTGATACCGTCATTATGCATTTTACTCCCAAACAAATACACACAGCACATTTTCAGCAGAAGTCTACACAAAAACACTGCCTCTTGTCGTACTTTTTTAAAGCTGGGTCAACTCTGAAAACCTCCCAACGCAAGCTATTTATTCTTTTCTCCACGGCGTCCCATCGTGGGTCCGCTCTGTCCTTATTCTATGCTCTGAATAGATCGTTTCATCTTAGTCTGACTCTCCTCGGCTCTTTCACACTTTCATCGTGTCCACTAATCACGCCTCGACTGAGACCGCCGCAGTTAAAGAGGGACGACAAAACGCTGCTTTATCCATCATCCACTCGGCTCCGGAATGTTCCCATGAGCTTCCCTCAGACTCAGACCTCAAACATGATACAATATGAAGTTATAAATCGCTCAAATCAAGTGGTTTTTATCTGAATCTGAGCACATTCTGACTGCGTTAAAACTAAATTTGCCGTTTAAACAAAGCCGTTTAGTCTCATTTCAAGAACTGTTGCTTTAGTTTTCTCATTTCTTGTATCTTTTTAAAACAAGATCCTTTTGCTTTATCCCATTGGCACATTCTGTTTTGAGGCAGTCAAACAAACTGTACCGGGCGACACGGTGGCTGAGTGGTTAGCAAGAAGGTCATGGGTTCGAATCCCGGTCGGAACAGGGCCTTTCTGAGTGCAGTTTAAAGGTTCTCCTCGGATCTGCGTAGGTTTCCTCTGGGTGCTCCGGTTTCGCCTGCCACTGAATGTGATGAGTGAGTGAATGGATGGTGTTGATTGGGGGCTTTGATGCTCATGTGTGTGGCGTCTCGCTTCCGTCATCACCGTGTGGAGAGATTGGAACAATATCTGTACATTGTAAAGTGCTTTGGGTGACATTAGTCTGTAAAAATGCGCTGAATAAATAAAAAAAATAAAGAAATGTTGAGATTGAGATACTTTCTGCCAAATTATAGCATTTTGTGACTTATTTTTCATCCCTTTTTGCAGTGTGGGCCTGTCCAAGGTGTGCCGTCGTGATAGATCCAGCTGCTTCTAATACAGGCCCGGGCGGGTTGTAAAAGTCCGAGGTACCTCTGTGTGAGCACCACGGGCTGACAGGGGATAGGCCTAACTAATGAACGAATGGGCAAAGGTCTGCTGCAAAAGAGCTTTTATTGATTTGAAGTAATTGATGTTAAGTCTCGTTTATTATACAACTCAATACCAGCAGGACTCCGATGACCCATTAGGCCGCGTTATAAATCTATTGTCACCGGGTTCTGTTGCCAGTGGACCTTTCTGCAAACGGATTTATCTCTTGTTGCGTTGTTTAATAGGTGGAGTTTGTGTTGTCGGCTTGGTTTTCAGCTGCAGGACAGGTGCCAATGCAACTCTGAGGCATTAGAAGTCATTTTGGATAGACATTTTGAAAAGGGAAATGCATTATGACGTCTGAGAGTCATATTTACGCACCTACATCTTACCTTTGAATGTTCTGAAAAACGGCAGCAGGTCCTAAGTGTCTCTGAAACAGTTGTTGTTTTGTGTTTTACAATTTTTATTTTTATTGCTTTTTTCTACCCAAGATGGCTGCAGTACAGTTTTCATGGTTTTACACTGGTCCAGACCAGAGCAGAGAGGATTTATGGTCCGAACCAAGTGGATCAGATTAAAACCCACTGGAGGAATGCTAACTTTTTGAACAATGCTAATGAAGCTTTCAGCATTTTACTTTGGACCAGAGCAGAGAAAATGATCCGAACCAAGAGGCTACTCCACCTCTGCTGCTGTGACCCGTCCTGCTCCACCCAGAGGCTACTCCACCTCTCCTGCTGTGACCCGTCCTGCTCCACCCAGAGGCTACTCCACCTCTGCTGCTGTGACCCGTCCTGCTCCACCCAGAGGCTACTCCACCTCTGCTGCTGTGACCTGTCCTGCTCCACCCAGAGGCTACTCCACCTCTGCTGCTGTGACCCGTCCTGCTCCACCCAGAGGCTACTCCACCTCTCCTGCTGTGACCTGTCCTGCTCCACCCAGAGGCTACTCCACCTCTGCTTCTGTGACCTGCCCTGCTCCACCCAGAGGCTACTCCACCTCTGCTGCTGTGACCTGTCCTGCTCCACCCAGAGGCTACTCCACCTCTGCTGCTGTGACCCGTCCTGCTCCACCCAGAGGCTACTCCACCTCTGCTGCTGTGACCTGTCCTGCTCCACCCAGAGGCTACTCCACCTTTTGACCCGTCCTGCTCCACCCAGAGGCTACTCCACCTCACTCCAGTTTCACAGCCTAAGTTCTGGATCTACAGCCTGTTCGTCCATGATCTGGGACATTTAAGGTTATTATGCAAATTTACTGACATTTTAGACATTGGTCATCCTGCTCCCTATGTGTTTGTTATTATTGAATTTACTGCACTGCATAAAGTGATGATAAATAAGTCAAAAACTACTGAAACTTGGCAAAATGAATCTCAATTTAAGGACATTTTGACTGCCATGAAACAAGATGGGACAAGCATAATTATCTTGGAATGAGACAAGATGAAAACACTCAAGCAATTTTTGCCTCTTAATTTAGTGTGTTGGAAATGTTTGATTCTCTGATCTGTTGTTGCAGAATCGACTACTTTATAAAGTCCTCCTAGGCGACTGCTGTTGTGATTTAGGGCTATTTTAATCATGGATTGGCCCAGGAATGACTGAAAAATTAGCTAAATCCTAAGACTGGCAATCAGACTTTAGACAGTTACCATGGTTACCAGGAATGATCTCGCAGCTTACTTTTTAGAGCGTTGTGATGTCACATGACCACAACCTATGAGCAAAACAAAGTATTCTATTAATTACAAATAAAACACATTTTCCACAGACATAAATTCACTTGTTTATGAGACAGTCTTTGGGTGTTTCATAAAAATCCACCATAAAAAAACAATTACAACAGGCTGTGACTCCTCAGTGTCACCTCCATAAACATTAACGAGGGCGTGTCTGCGAAATGTCCCGGACCAAAACGTATTCGTAAACAAAGTCTCAGTTCGGTCCATGTTTTACTATCGGCAGAATCAAAGAGATGCCGTTAAAGTCGTCCAAATGTCGGAAACCAGCTCAAATATTTCACCTGTTTTGCGCAATGGCCGCTGAAAACCAAAGCCCATCCATCCATCCATTTTCTTCCCCTTCATCCATTTCTGGGTCGGGGGGGTTCTGGTCAGAGCTGCACCCAGTACACAGAGCTCCAGCCCCAACCAGCCTGGACACACACACAACCAGCCTGGACACACACACAACCAGCCTGGACACACACACAACCAGCCTGGACACACACACAACCAGCCTGGACACACACACAACCAGCCTGGACACACACACAACCAGCCTGGACACACACACAACCAGCCTGGACACACACACAACCAGCCTGGACACACACACAACCAGCCTGGACACACACACAACCAGCCTGGACACACACACAACCAGCCTGGACACACACACAACCAGCCTGGACACACACACAACCAGCCTGGACACACACACAACCAGCCTGGACACACACACAACCAGCCTGGACACACACACAACCAGCCTGGACACACACACAACCAGCCTGGACACACACACAACCAGCCTGGACACACACACAACCAGCCTGGACACACACAACACAGCCTGGAACACACACAACCAGCCTGGACACACACACAACCAGCCTGGACACACACACAACCAGCCTGGACACACACACAACCAGCCTGGACACACACACAACCAGCCTGGATACACACACAACCAGCCTGGATACACACACAACCAGCCTGGACACACACACAACCAGCCTGGATACACACACAACCAGCCTGGATACACACACAACCAGCCTGGACACACACACAACCAGCCTGGATACACACACAACCAGCCTGGACACACACACAACCAGCCTGGACACACACACAACCAGCCTGGACACACACACAACCAGCCTGGACACACACACAACCAGCCTGGACACACACACAACCAGCCTGGACACACACACAACCAGCCTGGACACACACACAACCAGCCTGGACACACACACAACCAGCCTGGACACACACACAACCAGCCTGGAACACACACACAACCAGCCTGGACACACACACAACCAGCCTGGACACACACACAACCAGCCTGGACACACACACAACCAGCCTGGACACACACACAACCAGCCTGGACACACACACAACCAGCCTGGGACACACACACAACCAGCCTGGACACACACACAACCAGCCTGGACACACACACAACCAGCCTGGACACACACACAACCAGCCTGGACACACACACAACCAGCCTGGACACACACACAACCAGCCTGGACACACACACAACCAGCCTGGATACACACACAACCAGCCTGGAACACACACAACCAGCCTGGACACACACACAACCAGCCTGGATACACACACAACCAGCCTGGACACACACACAACCAGCCTGGACACACACACAACCAGCCTGGACACACACACAACCAGCCTGGACACACACACAACCAGCCTGGACACACACACAACCAGCCTGGACACACACACAACCAGCCTGGATACACACACAACCAGCCTGGACACACACACAACCAGCCTGGACACACACACAACCAGCCTGGACACACACACAACCAGCCTGGAACACACACACACAACCAGCCTGGACACACACACAACCAGCCTGGACACACACACAACCAGCCTGGACACACACACAACCAGCCTGGACACACACACAACCAGCCTGGACACACACACAACCAGCCTGGATACACACACAACCAGCCTGGACACACACACAACCAGCCTGGATACACACACAACCAGCCTGGACACACACACAACCAGCCTGGATACACACACAACCAGCCTGGACACACACACAACCAGCCTGGATACACACACAACCAGCCTGGACACACACACAACCAGCCTGGATACACACACAACCAGCCTGGATACACACACAACCAGCCTGGACACACACACAACCAGCCTGGATACACACACAACCAGCCTGGATACACACACAACCAGCCTGGACACACACACAACCAGCCTGGACACACACACAACCAGCCTGGACACACACACAACCAGCCTGGACACACACACAACCAGCCTGGACACACACACAACCAGCCTGGACACACACACAACCAGCCTGGACACACACACAACCAGCCTGGACACACACACAACCAGCCTGGACACACACACAACCAGCCTGGACACACACACAACCAGCCTGGACACACACACAACCAGCCTGGACACACACACAACCAGCCTGGACACACACACAACCAGCCTGGACACACACACAACCAGCCTGGACACACACACAACCAGCCTGGACACACACACAACCAGCCTGGATACACACACAACCAGCCTGGACACACACACAACCAGCCTGGACACACACACAACCAGCCTGGACACACACACAACCAGCCTGGACACACACACAACCAGCCTGGATACACACACAACCAGCCTGGATACACACACAACCAGCCTGGACACACACACAACCAGCCTGGATACACACACAACCAGCCTGGATACACACACAACCAGCCTGGACACACACACAACCAGCCTGGATACACACACAACCAGCCTGGACACACACACAACCAGCCTGGACACACACACAACCAGCCTGGACACACACACAACCAGCCTGGACACACACACAACCAGCCTGGACACACACACAACCAGCCTGGACACACACACAACCAGCCTGGATACACACACAACCAGCCTGGACACACACACAACCAGCCTGGATACACACACAACCAGCCTGGACACACACACAACCAGCCTGGACACACACACAACCAGCCTGGACACACACACAACCAGCCTGGACACACACACAACCAGCCTGGCACACACACAACCAGCCTGGACACACACACAACCAGCCTGGACACACACACAACCAGCCTGGACACACACACAACCAGCCTGGACACACACACAACCAGCCTGGACACACACACAACCAGCCTGGACACACACACAACCAGCCTGGACACACACACAACCAGCCTGGATACACACACAACCAGCCTGGACACACACACAACCAGCCTGGATACACACACAACCAGCCTGGACACACACACACAACCAGCCTGGACACACACACAACCAGCCTGGACACACACACAACCAGCCTGGACACACACACAACCAGCCTGGACACACACACAACCAGCCTGGACACACACACAACCAGCCTGGATACACACACAACCAGCCTGGACACACACACAACCAGCCTGGACACACACACAACCAGCCTGGACACACACACAACCAGCCTGGACACACACACAACCAGCCTGGACACACACACAACCAGCCTGGACACACACACAACCAGCCTGGACACACACACAACCAGCCTGGACACACACACAACCAGCCTGGACACACACACAACCAGCCTGGACACACACACAACCAGCCTGGATACACACACAACCAGCCTGGACACACACACAACCAGCCTGGATACACACACAACCAGCCTGGACACACACACAACCAGCCTGGATACACACACAACCAGCCTGGACACACACACAACCAGCCTGGATACACACACAACCAGCCTGGACACACACACAACCAGCCTGGATACACACACAACCAGCCTGGATACACACACAACCAGCCTGGACACACACACAACCAGCCTGGATACACACACAACCAGCCTGGATACACACACAACCAGCCTGGACACACACACAACCAGCCTGGATACACACACAACCAGCCTGGATACACACACAACCAGCCTGGACACACACACAACCAGCCTGGATACACACACAACCAGCCTGGACACACACACAACCAGCCTGGACACACACACAACCAGCCTGGACACACACACAACCAGCCTGGACACACACACAACCAGCCTGGACACACACACAACCAGCCTGGACACACACACAACCAGCCTGGATACACACACAACCAGCCTGGACACACACACAACCAGCCTGGATACACACACAACCAGCCTGGACACACACACAACCAGCCTGGATACACACACAACCAGCCTGGACACACACACACAACCAGCCTGGATACACACACAACCAGCCTGGACACACACACAACCAGCCTGGATACACACACAACCAGCCTGGATACACACACAACCAGCCTGGACACACACACAACCAGCCTGGATACACACACAACCAGCCTGGATACACACACAACCAGCCTGGACACACACACAACCAGCCTGGATACACACACAACCAGCCTGGACACACACACAACCAGCCTGGACACACACACAACCAACTAGGGGTGTGACGATATATCGATATATCGCGATACTTTCTCCCGCAATTCGATTATCGATAAGCATTTATCAATATCGATTTTGAAATACTTAATATATGGTTACATTACCAAAACCAAAGCGAAGTGAGTAAATATGGATGCAAATGATCTGACTGCTGCTGTTTGGGTGAAAACAATTAGCAAAACGCAACCGTAGCATTTACAAAGCTACACAACAGACTCCTCTGTGAACAACAAAACACACAATCTCCATGGGTTTAATTACTGTGAGTTTAAAGCTGCCAACTCTGGACTTCTCTTGTTCTCTGTTTCTTAAGTAAGTATGAAATGTGGATTGCATTTTTAATCTCTGGTCATAAAACTAATTGATTTGGGAGCGAAAATATTAATTCCTGAGCTTCTTTCCCCCGATGGAAAACCAAGAGGAAAAGGTTCAAGACTTTAAATAACACATTTCGACCCCTTTCGAGTTTTTTTCCACCAGTGTTTTTATATCGTTCGACTTAAAAAGTGTTTTATTGAAGTCTAATAAAATGGTACAGATCTTTCAGTATATTAACAATAATGTACCACAGAAAGAAAACATAAAACCAGTGTTACCTTAAATTTGAATCTATTTTTAATAATTATTAAATCATTCTTATTCCTGCATTCTGAGTCCTCCTTCATCTCACCTCATCTCTCCACTTCACAGCAACAATCTCGGTGTTGAAACCCAATGAGACCAATAAAGGTTTATCTTATCTTATACAATGAATCAACATACAGAATACAAATATGGGGTATTAGACACACAAAACACACACACACACACGCCTGACCCTACCCCTCGCTGTGGGCGAACCTGTAGTTACTCCACAGGTTTGAGCTAAACAGTAGAAATATCGTTTGGACGCGAGAATAATCACTGAGCCGCTGAACTTCAGTCTGGATCTAGATCGAAACAGTTGTGTGTGCGGAGAGCGGATACACACAACCAGTCGTGATACACACACAACCAGCCGTGATACACACACAACCAGCCTGGACACACACACAACCAGCCTGGACACACACACAACCAGCCTGGACACACACACAACCAGCCTGGACACACACACAACCAGCCTGGATACACACACAACCAGCCTGGATACACACACAACCAGCCTGGACACACACACAACCAGCCTGGACACACACACAACCAGCCTGGACACACACACAACCAGCCTGGATACACACACAACCAGCCTGGATACACACACAACCAGCCTGGACACACACACAACCAGCCTGGATACACACACAACCAGCCTGGATACACACACAACCAGCCTGGATACACACACAACCAGCCTGGATACACACAACCAGCCTGGACACACACACAACCAGCCTGGACACACACACAACCAGCCTGGACACACACACAACCAGCCTGGATACACACACAACCAGCCTAGACACACACACAACCAGCCTGGATACACACACAACCAGCCTGGACACACACACAACCAGCCTGGATACACACACAACCAGCCTGGACACACACACAACCAGCCTGGACACACACACAACCAGCCTGGATACACACACAACCAGCCTAGACACACACACAACCAGCCTGGATACACACACAACCAGCCTGGACACACACACAACCAGCCTGGATACACACACAACCAGCCTGGACACACACACAACCAGCCTGGACACACACACAACCAGCCTGGATACACACACAACCAGCCTAGACACACACACAACCAGCCTGGATACACACACAACCAGCCTGGACACACACACAACCAGCCTGGATACACACACAACCAGCCTGGACACACACACAACCAGCCTGGACACACACACAACCAGCCTGGATACACACACAACCAGCCTAGACACACACACAACCAGCCTGGATACACACACAACCAGCCTGGACACACACACAACCAGCCTGGATACACACACAACCAGCCTGGACACACACACAACCAGCCTGGACACACACACAACCAGCCTGGATACACACACAACCAGCCTAGACACACACACAACCAGCCTGGATACACACACAACCAGCCTGGACACACACACAACCAGCCTGGATACACACACAACCAGCCTGGACACACACACAACCAGCCTGGATACACACACAACCAGCCTGGACACACACACAACCAGCCTGGACACACACACAACCAGCCTGGATACACACACAACCAGCCTGGACACACACACAACCAGCCTGGATACACACAACCAACTAGGGGTGTGACGATATATCGCGATACTTTCTCCCGCGATTCGATTATCGATATGCATTTATCAATATCGATTTTGAAATACTTAATATATGGCTACATTACGCATCTACATTCCATTTATCATGAAATAAAGTGTATTTTTTCTTTTATTTATGCCATAAATTGGCATATTGTATATTTCTGACCAATATATCGATAATTGTCATATCGTGATAAAATCGTTATCATGAGCTTTGTATCGTATCGTATCGTGAGGTACCCTTAGGTTCCCACCCCTACAACCAGCCAATAAGATGTGTCCACGGCAAAGTCAAGACACTGTTTTAAAGCTAGGGTATGTAACGTGTGTTTTCTTCAGATATAAGAGTTTTGTTTGTTCCTGAAGAAAGAAGTTGTGAACAAATCAGACTCAAACTTTCTGTCTTCTTCATCTCAATAACATATTATATTTTACAAACTTTAAACTTTCTTTTGAGTCACTCTTTTACTCTTTGCGCTGAGATCTGATTGGTTCAAATTCGTCCTCTGTCACTTGTGATGGAGGTCAGAACGTACATGCACACTGCAAAAAAAGCTGCTTGAGCACATTCAGACCGTGTTAAAACTAGATTCTCCAAAAGAACAAAACATTTAGTCTAAATTTCAAGAACTGTTGCTTTATTTTCTGATTCCAAGGGAGACATTTCTTGTATCTTTATAAAACAAGATCATGTTGCTTCGTCCCAGTGACAAATCTTGCTTTGAAACAGTCAGAATGTGCTCAGATTAAGGCGGTGTTGTAGGTCGGTGTCGCTGACGTCAGGAGTTTGTGACAAATTAGCTGGTCATAGTTTGGCAATGGCGGCGAGTGCGACGGTAGGGTTTGGCTCAATATATCAAGAAACTGAAGCCGGAGCAAGAGGAATTAGCAGATTTTATTGCTGCAAAGATGTTGTGGCTCTACTCCCCAGTAGGTTAGACTACTGCAATGGCCTGCTCACAGGTCTGTCCAAACAGGCTGTAAAACAGCTGCAGTACATTCAAAATGCAGCAGCTCGAGTCCTGACTAGAACCAGGAAGTACGACCACATTAGTCCTGACTAGAACCAGGAAGTACGACCACATTAGTCCTGACTAGAACCAGGAAGTACGACCACATTAGTCCAGTCCTCAGGTCTCTGCACTGGCTTCCTGTGGCTCAGAGAATAGACTTTAAAACAGCTCTGCTTGTGTACAAGTCTCTCCATGGCCTCGCACCAAAATATATTAGTGACATGTTAGTCCCATATGAACCAGCCCGGACTCTGAGGAGCACAGGGACTGGACTCCTGCTGGGACTCTGAGGAGCACAGGGACTGGACTCCTGCTGGGACTCTGGGGAGCACAGGGACTGGACTCCTGCTGGGACTCTGAGGAGCACAGGGACTGGACTCCTGCTGGGACTCTGAGGAGCACAGGGACTGGACTCCTACTGGGACTCTGAGGAGCACAGGGACTGGCCTCCTGCTGGGACTCTGAGGAGCACAGGGACTGGACTCCTGCTGGGACTCTGAGGAGCACAGGGACTGGACTCCTGCTGGGACTCTGAGGAGCACAGGGACTGGACTCCTGCTGGGACTCTGAGGAGCACAGGGACTGGCCTCCTGCTGGGACTCTGAGGAGCACAGGGACTGGCCTCCTGCTGGGACTCCTGTTAGTGCCCAGAGTCAGAACTAAACATGGGGAGGCTGCTTTTCAGATCCATGCTGCTAAAATCTGGAACAATCTTCCTGAACATGTGAGACAGGCCTCCTCTCTGACAATGTTTAAAACCAGGTTAAAAACGGTGCTGTTTAGCTGTGCATACAACTGAGGGATTTTATATTTTTATCTTTCGTTTTAATGTTCTGTAATTATTTATGATTTTAATGCATCTTGTTCAGCACTTTGAGTTGCCTTGTGTATGAATTGTGCTATACAAATAAACTTGCCTTGCCTTGCCTTGCCCCATGGCCTCCATTAGTGGCAAAGGAGATGGCTAAAGCTAGGCTAAATGCTAAAGCCAGGCTAAATGCTAAATGCTAACAACTCACTCGGGCTCATTACATACGTCACAGTAAACTCAGATCCAATGGTTTCAATCTGCAAAAGGAGTTAGCCCCTCCCACCTGTTGTCTCCAGAACAACAGCAGATCACATCCCTCTCGTACAGACTGCTGTCCTTGTAGAGATAGAGGTCACATGCCTCTTTAAACTGGATTTAGAGGTATGGGGACTTTTACATCCCTTCACACAGTAAATCTAAGATCAGTGCAGACGCCTTTCTCCTTTATGCTGTGATATAAATCCAGACTGATCCCGACTGAACAGGAAACATGATGAGAAATGATCCAGCGAATCCTTGAATGGAGCAGAGCGGTAAATAGACCCGGGGTGAGAGATGAGTTGTGGTGTGTGTGTGTGTGTGTGTGTGTGTGTGTGTGTGTATGTGTGCACTTGTTTTCAACTCCTGGTGGGTTCCATAACCTGAGATTCCACTCACGTCATGGGGACTGGTTTTACGTGGTGGGGCCCGAACACCGGACCCCACTGGTCCAAGCTTAATAATCAATGGGTAATGCTTTTCTAACGGTCCTTATGCAGTCTCTGTAAAAATATGGAAAGGACCCCTGGAGGTTTACTTTCCTGAAAAAAGTGTGTTATGTGTCGGAACCCTGGTGGTGGGTTGCGGGATATCAAGGAGGGGCACACTGGGGCAATTTCAGTCCAGCAGGCTGGAGCCAATCATGGAGCAGCACAACAGAGGCTGGAGCCAATCATGGAGCAGCACAACAGAGGAAATCAGGTGTCAGGCTAGAAAAAGGTGCAAGTGTGTGGTTCATTAGGCTGCAGCCAATCACAGAGCAGCACACTGAAGCGCACGCTTACAAACCACTGGTAAGTGCTGACTACAAGTCATGACTTCAAATTGTTATATAGAATGATTACAAATTATTTGTTGTTTGTGCAGCTTAGTCAAGAGTCCCTAATTGATGAAGTCGACTCAGATTCTGACGATTTAACTGTCAAGAAGAAACCTGTAAAAAAGTATGGAAAAAGAAAAATCAAAAACACTTTTCTTCAAGACTCGGAAAGTGACGAACCAAAGGCAAATAAGATTGTTATCATGCAGCTGCAAAAGAAGAAAAATGGGGGCAGGGTTTACAGCAAGAGACACTTCTGCCTCTACTGTTCAATGTCCTGCCACAAAATGTCCCGTCATTTGACTAGAAAACATGGAAATGAAAGTGACGTAGCCAGAGCATTGGCTCTACCTGTGAAATCTAAAGCACGTAAACTTCAGTTTGATTTGATCAGGAATAGTGGAAACCGTGAGCACAATTTTGAGGTTTTAAAGGCCGGCATTGGAACTTTAGTCCCAGCTAAACAGCCAAATTGCCCAGTTAAATCCAGTGAGTTTTTG